TCACCTCTTGGTCCAGCTGAAGATTTGATTTGATAGTCCTGCGGTTGATCTTGACCAGCAAATTCGACAGAAGATCCAATCCTTGAAGATTTATAAAGTGAGAAGTCCACCCTGGAGATTGGCTGGCCAGTTGCTTCTCGAGCTTCTGCAAATGTTTGGTCAAAACTCTTTCCGTAAGAAGTTGCTTCAAAAACCACTCTGGTGATTCAATACCTTTATTGAACGAGCTCATCCTTTTCGTTGCTGGTGGGGCTGAATAGACTATTTCAGTCGTCAAAGTCCTCCTCAGGGAAGTCTTATCCATGTCCTTACATATGTACCTCCATTTCATATCCGTGGCTAGCATTTGCAATCTTCTTTTCTCTGCTGTAGAGAATTTTTCCTGCTCCAGAAGAGCATTAAACCGCAAATTTATCTGATCCTCGCTAGGAACGACAGCTGAAAATGGATTATGACCCATATCGCTGTATGACCTGGTGGGACTTGAGAGAGGAGAAGAAAGAGCAGCGGTGTCTGGCTCCAACGGGCTAGTAGGTCCTTGCTTAGTAGATGACTTTCTTCGTAGTCCCTTAGGTCCAGGCATAAAATCATCACTGTATTGAAGAGAGTGCGTCGAAGAGTTACTAGCACTGGACTGTGCCGCTAGTCTCTGCGTATCAACACTGCTCCGCTTCTCACCAAGTCCTCTCCCTGCCAGTCCGAGTCCAACCGCGATGACATTTTTCTGTGACAGAGTCACATGAGAAGGAGAAGGAGCCTGATCCAACGGGCTCATAGGAGTGATACTGGTATTAGGGCCACTTTCCAAAGTGTAACTCTTCAATTGCGACAGCTTTTCGATCTCAATGGGTGTCTTCCCGCTTTGTGTCTCGTCATACCGTACGGCAGTGAAATCCGCCTTGAAATCACTATTATCGGATCCTGAATTGGAATTTCTTTTCATAGTCGCCACACGGCCCAGTTTCTTCAACCCTGAGGCAAATTTGTTCTTGTCAGACCCTTGTTCTGACTCCAAGTTAGACCTGCTAACTGATGGTCCGCGAGAAATAGTTGGGCTGGTTGGCATAGGACTGTCTGAAAATGAACCACTTCTAGACTGTAAGCTCCTTTGTCTGCTCAGAATCTTAGCACTTGAATCGGGGCGTATTACCCTGTCTAGATTTATCATTCTTGTCTTCATCGGTATCCTTGAAGCTGATGCTTTTTGGGGCTCTTGGTCCGCTTCGGACGTGGGCTCGGTATTTATGTGGCCCAGAGGCTTCATACTCTTCTGACACACAGTCAATTACCACTCAAGAACGATTTAGTATTGTGATGTTGAAATAGGTAACTGGTCGCAAAAGAGTAAATACCCTGACTACCCTCACACACGTAGATAACTGTTTGAGCCTCACCCGCGAATTTTCTGGCAGTGCCGGTCCCCAAATGGCCTCCACAGCTATTCAAGACTCGCTTGGCAAACCCGAATAAGATAACAAGGGATGATTGGATACGGCCTCAGAGGCAAAAATTCGGATGCATAAAAAGGTTTTGCTTGTCTGAGGCAACGAAAAAAAAACATCTGCCTCCTGCCGGAATTGAACCGGCGATCCCCGCATTACGAGTGCGATGCCTTACCACTTGGCCAAAGAGGCAAATTTTCCAGGTTTACGGACTAGAGCGTACTACACTGAGCATTATTTGTTGGTAAACGACCCTTGTGCTGGTTCTGTGGGGATTAGATTGAAGGTGAATAGTTGATCCCATTAGTGAAAAACAGCAAGAAATTCAAGTTCTGGATTTAAAAAGGTGTTGATTTCTACCAGCTTGTTCTGTTTTCCCGCTTATCTGGAATAATTTTACCGCCAACTCATACACCCAAAGTTGATGTCCCATTTACACAGGTATGTAAACAAAACGAGATGAGGTACCAAAATAGTGAAAAATACTGTCAGAGAGACTCTGCAGTCTACCCTTCAATAGTTATCCAAGCGATTGTTACCAGCCATGGGAGGTTCGGACTCCCGTCGTTCAGATGAGGACATACTTGCGGAGTCGCTTTCCTCTATGAAAATAAAGGGAGGAAACGACAATGGCGAGACCACCAGCAATCATCAAGCCTCTCACAAATCACATACTTCAAGTTCTAGTCCAACCAAGACTGATCTGATTGTCAAGGGAGGTTCCAGCTCGACAACAAGAAAGATCACCACTTTGGGATCTTCTAATGGCTATAAATCATTGGGACCACCTCGTCCAACTACATCAGCTCCTGGGCTTGCTGCAAAAGCATACGGCTCTCTTGCCCCACCTAGGTCTGGAACCAAGACGACATTTACCGTGGATGCTAACAAAGACATGTTCAAGCCGATTGACGTTTCTAGCAAGAACTGGGGAAAGAGGTTGGACGTGAAGAAATTGTCCAGCGCAAGCACCAGTCTTGCCCCACCTGGGAACTATGGGCCTGGATTGAAGCCCAGAGAAGCTATTGCAACCCATGACCGTTGGGACAAATTCGCTTCCATAGAATCTCCTTTTAAGGATAAAGAAGCCCTTCGCAATCATACGGGAGCGGGATTTCTCAGTTCGCCTTCAAAGTTCAATGCTGACGATCCCCAGACATTGGAGCTACTGTCTGTTGGAGAGGGCGTCGGTCTGATTGGAGATGAGACAATTAAACCTGCAGATGTCTTTGTTAAAGGATTAGATGTCGTTCTTCTTCCTCATCAAGTTCATGGATTGAGGTTTTTGAAAGCAAGAGAAAACCCGGAGTTTGCCCATAAAGGTGGTTTGCTGTGTGATGACATGGGACTGGGTAAGACTGTCCAAGCAATGGCGTTGATTCTGGCCAATAGACCTGCCCAAAATGACGAGACTGAGTTGTTCGAGCACGATGAAAACTTCAAGTATAAAATACCCGAGCGAAGCCTCAAGACGACTTTAGTGGTGTGTCCTGTTGCCCTGGTTACTCAATGGGCTGATGAGATCACCACCAAGGCACCAGGCCTGACTGTCTCCACTTACCACGGTCCCTCCCGCGAACGTGATATCAACAAACTTGCGGAATTCGATGTTGTTGTCACCACTTACAGTGTGGTCATGTCTGATGCCAATGACCCCGCCAAATCCCCGCTATACAATGCGTTCTGGTGGAGAGTCATTCTGGATGAAGCCCACACAATAAAGAATAGACATGCCAAAACTGCCCAGGCCTGTTTTGCCCTGGGGTCCTCCAGAAGATGGTGTTTGACGGGAACCCCAATTCAGAACAGTTTGGACGATTTACAGTCGTTGCTTCTGTTCCTGAAGGTGAGCAAGTACAGTGATGCCGATCTGTGGAAGGTCAAGGTACGGGACGTCATCAAGAACGGCCGATCTGTCGATGCCCTCGAGCAACTTCGACAAGAGTTGTCAAAGATCATGTTGAGAAGAAACAAAGACACACTTAATAAAAGCTCGAATGCACTCAAGCTTCCTGCCAAAAATGTCCATGTCGAAACGATTCAACTGTCACCTCCAGAAGCAAAGATCTACACTGCTTTGGAGCAAAAGATCCTCAAGACCGTCACCAGCTCTAATGGGGAAATGGACTATGTCAATGCCTTGGTCTTTCTTCTTAGATTGCGCCAGGCTGCCTGTCATTGGAAGCTACTTAGCAACTACGATGACGACTTTTTGAGCTCGTATCTTGACATGCCCAAGCGGCCGTCTTCCCCAATCAAGTCGGACAATACGAGCCAGGAAAACCTCCTGAATTTTGGAAAAGAAGCAAAGGCAGCAGACGATCTTATGGACTTGTTCAGTTCGCTGAGTTTGAAGGAAAATAAGTGCGAGATTTGCTCCGAGACGATACCTCATGGCCAGAAGAAGTGTGCCTCATGCGAGTTGATTATCAAGGGAGAGGACGAGGCCGCAGACCTCGGCAGTTTGAACAGTGCGAAGCTGGTGAGGCTGGTTTCTATAGTTAAAAGTGACCCTTCAAGAAAGACGATCATCTTCTCCCAATTTACGTCTATGTTGGATCTTATAGCGCAAGAAATGGCTGGATTGGGCATAGGTTACGTTCGTTATCAGGGTTCAATGAGTAGGCAGGAAAGAGACCAATCTCTTGAAAAACTCCGCAAGGACAGAAAAGTGACGGTCCTGCTTTGTTCTCTCAAGTGCGGGTCTTTGGGTCTGAACCTTACGTGTGCGTCAAGAGTCATACTGTTTGATCCGTGGTGGAACCCTCAGATTCAAGAGCAGGCAATTGACAGGGTCTACAGGTTAGGTCAAACGGTTGCCGTGGATGTTCATCAGTTGGTTTCCAAGAACACTGTTGAGGAGAGGATTATGAAGTTGCAGGACGAGAAACGGAACTTAGCAAAAGCCGTGGCCGATGGAGACCAGGTCGCCAACCAGAAGCTCAACGTGAACAAGTTGTCGTTCTCTGAGATGCTGAAGTTGTTCGGGGCCGCTTGACTTACAGACGAAGCGGTAGTAGCATTCAATAGAAACTTTCAATCACATTGTAGTCGCTCAAGGCGATGACAGCATATCTAATATTTCATTGCAAAGATTCTCTGCTTCTTCGAATACGGGCAGGAACTCGGAAGCTTTGGCGATCAACTTCTTGCCTGCCATGTCGTTAAGAACAATCAGCACTTCCTTGAAGAACGTTAAACCACTCACTATGCTCGAAGCAGGATCTGTTCCAATACTTCTGAAAGTATCATTCAGCAGGTTTTTGGCCTTGGAAATGGCCGAGGTGGGTGTTATCTCTGCGTCTCTATTCCTCAAGTAGGTTGAGAAGAAGAATTGCAGCATTAGGCCCATGATAACATTGGGTATGGAGTTGGAAAATGGAAGGGATGCCGCAAGCTTTCTCCATTCGCTATTTGTCCTCTCAAACTTTCTAGTGTCGTCCACATTGCTAATGAGAATGGAAAGCACGTTCACATTGACCGCCTCTGAGGCATCATTGTTGATGATGTCAAACAGAGAGCGTGTCTGGAGAATCGACCGCGACAAATGGCGGGTGTTGTAGCTTCTCAGATCTGTCACAGGAATGAGTGAACACAGCTTGCTGATGATGATGGCAGCATTCTTGGTGGGAGAGTCTGGAATTTGGCCCAATTCGTTGGGCAAGATCAGGTCAGAAGGTTGAATTGTCTGCTGGAAAGTTTTGAAGTATGAGACAATCAGGAACAGTTGTTCTGCAAACTTCGAGGCACCGACCTTCGGCAACAGCTCGCCCCATGGAGTCAGCTTGAATGGGGCAGATGGGGAAACAAAGCCCTGTAGGGATAGTGCTCTCAACAGTGAGCTAGCCACAAGCTCTGAATCAGAAGTGATATGCTGTTGCTTTCCCTTACTGGTGTCTGTTGCCTTCAACAGAAAATCTGCAGACAAGTTAGTGAAGAGCCTCTGCAAAACCGATCCCTGGCCAGCCAGAGAGGCATCCTGGACAAACAGCGATCCGATTTTGACAAAAACAGGTGGCTGTATTCTGTGTATAAGATCATACGATTTCTCACCTTGAAAGTAGGTGCTCAATTTGAGCTTTTTGACCTGGTAGTAACGGTTCATCATCCCGGTGATCAAGTTCAACGACTGGTTCTTTAGCTCAATTCTCTGTCTGTCCGTTACCAGCTTGGTGTACGTTGGGGTTGCGACTCCATCCAAAGGAAGTCTCTCGATTATTGAACCGTATATGATAGCCTCGTACAGAGAGAAACTAGTGATGCCCACAGACTGGTAGAAGTAGATCTCGTCAGCTAGTCTCTGGCCCACAAACTCGTGCAAGTCATTAGGAATGTTTGGCCGCAAGCGGGAAACTGATTTGGGGGAAATCTCTGATGATTCTTTTTTGGCATGGCCGTTAGGCTTTTCTTCGGAATCCGCAGCCTCTGTCGAGACCTTCTCCTCGGCAAAAGGCTCGACCGCTCCACTGGTCTTCATCACTGGTGCATACTCCACAGAAGCACAGCCCTTCTGGAACTTTTCCAAAAACCCACTCTGCGGCAGGGAAAGAAGGGTATTGTATATGGAACCTCCGTTAGTTATATACTCGTGTAGGGACCTGAAGTTAGGCACCGGAGCTAGCGAACCTGGGATCTGAGGAGGGAATATTGTCAAAGTTTCCGGCTGTAAGTCAAAACCAACAGTGACTGCAATATCCCTAAACTGCTTTTCCGTTAAGCTCAATCTGCCGAAAACATGGCTTCTGTCTAAAGCCTTGAATTCCTTGTTGGACTGGAGATCCAGGTTGAAGATGAAGTTCTCTAGCGTTTCCACCAGTAACAGGTCTGTCGGGCCAAAAACAGCATCAATCACGTCTTGTGAGCGCATGTAGGCCAATTGCATCCATGAGGAGTATGGAGCAATGAGGAATTCGATGTCGTTCTCGGTGAAATATTGAAACAGTTGGTGCATCAACGGTCTTAGGTTAGCAGGAGAGTTTGGCTCTCTGAAGGACTCCTGGTGCTGTGGATCTTTGGCAATTCTGTCCCAAACTCTGCGGTGATATCTCTCATTTGGCAGCATGTCTGGGTTCTGTAGCGCCTGGTATTGAAGGGTGGTTTCAAGCCCAGAAAAAACGAAGATAGGAGTCACCTCCAGCTCCTTGAGAGCATTGAGGTCCTGTTCAATTAGCTGGATGAGAGTAACCGGAAATCCACCCAGACCCTCCAAAGCTGTCTCTCTCTTTCCAGAAATCAGACGCGACAAGTAATGGTCCACGTCTATTCCCAGCTTGGAGTATCTCAAGATCTCCACCTGGTAGCTCGTCAACGCATAGTTGTCAAACAAGTAGGACTCGAGAGTTTTAACTGAAGATAGGTTAGTAAACAATAAGCTGATGACGACATTCAAATTCCTCACGTACTGGGCATTTCAAGTCTATATCACGTTAGTTGATGATATCTCCTCTCTTTAACACCAACAACATAGTAAGGGTCGTCGATGAAAACGATGGGGTCCGCGTTTTGGGTCACGTGATTTTTCATCCCGCGAAGCCTGGGAAAGAAACCACGTATCGGCATAGACTCTTGTCTTAGCCCAAACATCAACCCTCACGCTCTACGTACAATGCGGAACTCATGGGGAATATCAATTTTGGTCTGGGCTATTTTTGCCCAGATGTGCTGGGCCTTAAAGTATGAGCAGCTGGTTGCCGGTAACAAGGGCAAAATATCACCACTCAAGATCACCGATAACAACTACATCGCCATACTGGAGAATCCAAAAGAGGACTTTGACCTGGTGTTGCTTGCTACTGCTACGAACCCAGAGGTTGGATGTTTGTTATGTCATGAATATGCTCCTATATATAGCATGGTTTCGGAGTCGTTCGCGGCCAATAGCAAGGGGATCGAGACCGACAAGAACTTGGTGTTTGCGTATGCTGACTTTCCAACCGCAAAGAAGCTGTTTCAAAAACTCCAGCTCAATACCGTCCCCAAGCTATTCTACTACAAAGCTGGAGGAGCGCCAGATGTGACCAAGGTTGCTGCCGAATACACGTTTATGCAGGGTGAGAACCCCGACAACCTTGCCGGTTGGGTCCGCGAACACTCCGGGTTGGCTCCACACCTGTTTGTTCTGCATGAAAAGATCGACTATTCCAACATAGCATTGACCATCTCAGCGATTGCAATGCTCACCTTCATCACCATCAGGAAGTGGGCCGAGGTGACGAAGCTTTTGAAATCCAAGCAGATATGGCAGGCCGGTTCTATTATCCTGATCATTCTCTTTGTTTCTGGGTATATGTACAATGAGATCAGGAACGCGCCATTTTCTAGGCCACAAAGAGATGGTTCTCAGGAGTATTTTGCGAGTGGACACCAGCAACAGTATGCTGCTGAGACCCAATTTGTATCTGTTGTCTATGGGCTTTTGATGGTGATGACGGTTGTAGCTGTGAGCAAGGCGCCCAAAATCAAGAATTCCAAGGTACAATTTGCAGTAACGGTGATTTCAACGATCGGGATATTTCTGGCATATAGTTATCTGATCCACCTCTTCCACAAGAAGAATTCGGGGTACCCATATCACCTCTTGAGGTATTGAAGTGGTTGAATCCATATATGCAACATATATTACTAAAATCTCCCCCCATTGCCCATGGTCTTGGTAGCCTGGTCTTTTGACCCGTTTCCCCGGAATTTCGGCGTAGTGTATTTTTCTTTCTCATTCAGTCCAATCTCATTCCAGCTGCTATTCTATCCACCCTAGCTTCTACCTTGGCCAATACAGCATTTATCTTCTTCAATTTCTCGGCTAGAACGTTTATTCTCTTCTTGTAAGCCTCAACAGTGTTCTGGTCATCTAAGCCCTCACTATCCACCTCTTCCCCAGATCGCACCGAGCTTCCAAGACCGTCCAACTTCTTCTGCATTTTTAGCAACATACCTGATAATATGATTTGTGACTCGTACAATGATTGCATGTTGAGATTTAAAAGCTCCAGCGGAGATTCCGTGAGTGACTGCACAGTTAGCTCTATGGGATGAATAGCCTCGGGGCTGACCGTTTCTGTGTGGCCATCGTTAAGCAAAGACAGAAACGATTCAGATTTTCCCAAGACTGTCTTAAACTTGAAAACTGGTGAATTATTGCCGTTCATAATGGGTGATTTTCCTCAATTCTATCCAATATGATCCAGCTCAAATCGTCCATTCAAATCCCTAATGTTATCGTGAAAACAAAGCGTGGAGAGATGAGGCTCATCGCACGCCCCGGCGAGGCTCTGGCCTGAAAAATGGCTGAAGATTGAGCCCATCAAGACTTTTTGAACAGCGCAATATTTGCCTCCAAAAATCATGCTGAAATCAACTATTCTGCGTTCAAAGAAGAATCTGCGCTGTTTACATCAACTCAGAAGTCTCAGCACCCAACAGTTGCTGGAGATCCTTCCGGCCAAGAAGACAGTGAACAGAGTCCTCTATGACATGAACGCCAGACTGACATGGAAGAAGTACTTGCCCATTCTGAAAGCACTATACGAATCGCCGGATGATGCCATAATACCGAAATATGCTAAAGCAGCAGATCTCACGTTGTTTCAGAAAGTTTTGAAGGAAATAAGAACAAGTACACACCAAACGGATAAACGGCTTCTACGACTAGAGGAGACATTGATCGAAAGATCTGCGGAAATGGGCGATAACGATGCCGTTTCCATGTTGGCTTTTAGTGCTTTGCGAGACGAAAAGATGGAGAAGTTTTCTCTTGATGACAGGAATTATTCGAAAAAATTGATAGCCAATCTTCTGGAGATCAAGCATCCTCTTGCACTGAAGTTGGCTGGAGATTACGCTTATAGCAAGGGCAGGATACAGGATGCCGAAAACCACTACCACTCCTTTTTGGAGCTGGATGACCAAAGTTTTCTGGCCTCGGAGACTTTCAAGACTCTGGGTCATATAAGCTTCGCAAAGCCCGATCTGAACTCGGCCAAGGTGTATCTGGAGAAGTCTATCAATCTCGCACCATTGAGAAAAGTACCCGAATGTCACTTCCTCTTGGGTCAGATCTATGGGGATGATGCTCAGCGATCACGGTATCACTTTGAAATGAGCGCGACTCAAGGTTTCAAGGAAAGTTTTGCTCAGCTTGGGTTTCTTGAGCTGAACTACTTTGGCAATACCGATAAGGCATTTGAGTGGTTCAAGCTAGGCGTGGAGCTGGGAGACATCAACTGTCTAGTCGGGTGTTTTGACTGTTTTGTCAAACAGGAAAGGTGGGAACAAGCCCATGGTGCAATGTTGAGGATACAGAGCTTCAATGAGTTAAGGGAGAAGTCAGGTTCGGGGGCTGTTGTGGATTTGGCCAGTATACGTGAAAAAGCGATAGCCAAAGTGATGGAGCACCATAACATTAAATCGCAACCTGATGTTTCAACTGGTGGTGAAGGCTCGCGCTGGGACGCTTAGCCATAGTGACAGGTCTGTATTGGGATTTAAATGGCGATGGTAGGATGTGTGTTGATACTTTTTGTTATCAGAAAAGAGTACTCTCTTGGAATCGGTAGCTTCGTGTCTTGTGTATGTGTCCATTGACCAGTGTATATTATCTGTGTATATTGCAAGATTTTTACCCAATGATAAATATAATGCTGTATATATGTTTCGTAATCTTAATATTGTGGTAAATTTGTTATGATATATCTATCGTAAGGAATTACTTCTAAACGTCCAACCTAATATGCTCATGCAGGTATACTTATGCACATAAATGCATTGCATTTATTGCATATCGCAGATGCTGTCTTCTATTATTACCTTCTATTGTCTTAAACGTTCCACTCACTATTAACAATTCACTTCCCAATCACAATTGCAAATTCGTCTCTTCTGAGAAAACATAATGCATATGAAATATGCTCTATACTCTTTTATATACAATCACATCGCCTGCTCTCCGCTCATCCCAATGGAAGCGACTGTTGAACAGACGAGCATACGGAACATAATGCTCACTTCCCAAATACCCATTCATAGTGGATTCCAAAGCTTCAAAGAAAACAAGATACTTCGGCCAATCGTGTGGGTATTTTCCTTCTGGAGCCAATCCGGTGCTAATGTCTCGAAAATTGGAATCTAAGAATCCGGTTGGATCGGCATAGAACTCGTCGCTCTCGTCTTGATACTCCTCAAGCACAAATCCTGGTTCGTGTTGTTCGACCAATGGCGGTTCGCATGTCAAGAACCATATATGAGCAGTGTCTGGATCCAGGTGAAAATGACTTTGAAATGGAGTCGAATGGCACGGAGTCAGAAATCCAATGGATGGCTTTACGGCATAGTTCGAACCCTCGTTCAAAACAGCTGTTCTAAGCACATTGATCACCTCAATAACTCCGCTTTCGTGGATAATGGTGAAGTAGTAACCCAAAAAGATGTTCAAACCAACTATAGCAACGGTCACCGTTTTGAGTATCTGAGGATTCCAGGTCTTAGAAAGCCTCGTCACGCTGATGGCAGTGAGCAACAGAAAGATAGGCTTCAGAGGATATACAAATCTAAACTCTTTGTGCTGAATCAGGGAGAAAACCAGTAGATACAGACATACAACTTCCACCAAAATGTGCGTCTTTTTCCTCAGAGTCAGGTCTGTTATTAGGCCACCAAATAAGATGTAGACTCCATGGAAAGTGAATGGAAGTAAAGTGAGCAACAGAATAGGCACTCCTTGTACGACGTAGAAACTCCATGAGTTAATCCCATAAAACGCACTCAAACCTTGTACCACATTGAATTCCAGAAACTTCAGAAGTGGAAAGACCAACTCGCCATAAAACCAGTGGTCTACACTAGCATTGATAATGATGCAGGCGGTGGTGACCAGTGTCACCAACAAAAGTATCGAAACTTTCGATTTTTGCACCCAGAAAAGTCGACCACCCAACACCAACCAAATCACCCCGTTTGTAGGTCTCACTAGACACGAGAAACAAGCCAAGCCCAGACTAAATGCAAACCTCTTGAAGTTGAGTCCACTAGAAGACGATATCGTGGAACCAATAGGCCAGAAGTTCAAGGCCCATGCAGTTAGCACCAGTTCAAAAGTATTCGAGAATGTTCTGGTTATAGCAAACCAATTGAATGCCGAGACCAAACTGGCCGCCAGGGTCAATTGGGCCAGTCGCGTGTTTCCTGTCCATGTATCCACCCAGGTGTATATGCCCACTTCACCAATAGTCACCATAAAAGCGCTGAACACCTTTGGCAAAGCTAATACCCAAGCATACTCAAGATTAAACAATTCGCACACTTTATAAGCAACTGCAAATATTAAGGGGTGTAGAAAAGATCGTATCTTTTGCTTCCACTCCCAGGTCAGATAACCAGTGTTGAAGACCGCGTAATGGGCTGGTTCTAGTGCCTGCCAGTACTCATCAGCTTGGAAGAAAGTGCGAATTGTAAGAGCGTTTAGTAACCTAATTGTGAACACCACCAGAAATATGGTCAAAATGCTCTGTTTCGCCATCGTTATGGACTTTTCGCCATCTTGAAGGGAACTGGGGTAATGAGCTCAGCTCTATAAAAACACGCGTTGAAAACTCACGTGACAAGCCTCAAGTTCAAAACCTTGCATGGCTCTATGAATAATTTAAAGTACTACTTTGAGGAGTAAAACCGTCCAAAATCATATTTTTTATTTTGTCACAATCGTGTGAGTTCTTTTGAATCTTTTAAAACTTTTGAAATTCTAGTTTTCGACTTCTATAACGCCATAGCGGATGCCATCAGAAGAACCACGGCCGCAATCATGGCCGTTGGCTTCAATGAATTGCCCTCACTCTTGCTGTTCGTATTTGACGAAGACGAAGACGAAGACGACGATGTGGTCTTAGAGCCAGAGGACGATTTGGAAGATTTGGAGGAAGAGCCAGAAGAGCCAGACTTGGTGGATGCGGCAGAGCCCGAAGATGCTGTGACGATACCTCCATTAGATGTAGCCTCAAGCGAGACGCTTGTAGCAATTGAAACGTCGTCGTCAGAGGTCCAAGTGGAAGAGTAAGAGGCAGCCTTGACAGCGGATGGAACTCCGCTTGAATCAATCTCCTCTATGTCCTCGCTTCCTCCCGAAAAGTCTGCTTGGGCAATTGAAATCTGCTCATTCTCTAAATCGTACACCACATATGCATTGCTGATAAAGTTGTCTCCAAGAATCACACTGTCATCGCCGCTGTATGATACCCCAAGAGCACAGAAACCCTGTCCGACAAGCGTGAAATTGCTTAGACTGGCCTGAATCTTGGCCCCTGTGAAGTCAAACGTAAACTTGTAGTCGTTAGCAATACTGCAGTCAAAGTAGTAGTAACCTATGCTGGAAGAGTAAGAAGCACCAATTGTGTTTGCAATTGCCTCCAGTAAATCCAAAGGCAAGTACGTGATGGTAGAACCCGTGTCCAGCAAAGCAGCAAATTTCCCGGACGCGAGGGTCTCTTCGTTGTCTCCAGAGGCAATTGTAAGCCCAGAGAGCGTGATTTCCAGTCTAATTGGCGAGTCAACGTAGCCGGCATAGGTGTTGATGATGGCCACCGTCTCGAGCGACCCGGTGTACTTGGAATGGTCAACACCACCAAACAATACGGACCCTTCACTGGAAGAGGCCGTGTTGAGAAAGACAGAGTATGCAGGTGTGTTAATGAGGCCGTTAGCAGCCATCTTGTATGGAAGGTTGAGGTACTGGTAATGGTTTGAAGATGTGGCCGTGGAACCAACGTAAGTGGCCTCCAAACCGGTTAGACCGATACCGAGCACACCGAACGAAGAGTTGGACACATTTGCAACAGCAAACGAAAGGTCCTTCACGTCTACACCTGCAACGTTCACAACATCATGGGCCCAATACCCCGAAGCAGCAGTAGAATCTGCGTATGAAATGGCAAAATCAATGGTATCGTTCTTCTTAAAACTCTTGGATTTGCTGGTGTCCAATCCACCGTACTTGTTGCATCCTGAGGTGAACGTAGGGATAGACGCGTCAGCAGTCGAGGACCCAGTCACGGTCTCGGTGTATCCACCCAATTCGCCACCACCAATATCATCCCTCTTGTCAAACTCAAAAGCATCAATGTCAACCACCCTTCTCTTGGAAGAATCTGACGTGGAATCGCAGTATTCGTTGTCCACGTCCTGGACCCATAGGTCAGATGACCCTGTGTCAACTAAAACACCCATCGACTGGCCTGGAGTTCCGATTGTCACATTGGTCATAAAGAAGGTTTGCGCATTTATGAGCACCATTTCAGCGGTGGAATCGTCTCTCTTCACTAACTTGGGGCGATTGAACTTTACAGCATCTTCAGCAGAGTCTCCACGTATAACGTCAAAGTTTTGTTTCACGACTTTCTTAGCGCAACAGCATGCTGCCAGCGTAAGCAACAGTGCCAATCTCATGGAACCAGTCTAGCAATTGATCAAGGAGCAAGGATGACCGTTGTCCAAAGAAAGAAAACAAAGATTGGTAAGGATTGGATAGGATTGCCACGGAGTAACACATTTCGCTCTGTTCCCACGCGAACTTACCGAAGGGCGTGGACACGACCCAAAAATAAACACGGTGTTGAGAGGCGCAGATAATGCACAGCCCCGTCTGATCTTTGCTCTGGTCAAGCAGAGGCCAAGAAATGGGGGTGGTACTGGGGGAAATTTTAGGTTTTTTTGAAAAAAATTGAGCAATTTTGGAATTGGGGGAATATGGGTCACGTCCGGACACGGTCGTTTTAAATTTGCTGTGCGGGGTTAGGAAACTGGTGGTTCTGGCCCGCGGTTATTGTATTCCTTATGGCCCATCTTGAGGCGTGTAGATCTATCTAATTGAGGCGCATGTGCCTAATGATGTCATCGCACATCAAGATGGAGGGTGAATAGAAGTGCCAAATAGCATCAATAGAGACCAAATGCAAGTTTAATTAATGAAGAGCACCTCGTGTAACAATCGTATTTTGTTGTGTAAGGCAATCCCTATATAATCGAATTACGAGTCGTGCGCTGATCTGACCTGGCGGAGCAAACGTGCCAATTATGGCGCATCGGTACATTCCCAATCAGTAGGTTCATACGCCTTGGGATGGTCCAACTCACGGATCTCCTCCTCCGTCAGGGAGAACGAATACACGTCCAGGTTTCCCGCGAGTCTCGACACTGTTTTGGTCTTTGGTAGCGGGATGTGCTTTTTCTGCATGGACCATCTGATTAGTACCTGCGCACCAGAAACGTTCTTTCGAGCAGCTATCTTGGTGACTGTGGGGTCGTTGATTTTCCCACCGTGGCCCAAGGGCGCATAGGCTTCGACCTCGATACCTCTTTCGTTGCATGCGTCTGCCAGTTCCTGGCGCATCAACCAAGGCGAAATTTCTATCTGGTTGACAACAGGCTTGTACTTGAGGCCGTCCCATGCCAGCAACTCGTCAATGTGTTTGATGCCGTAGTTTGAAACACCAATGGACTTGACCAGACCCTCGTCAACAGCCTCTTGCATGGCCTTGTAGGTCTCCAATCTCATTTTTGGACCTTCCAGTGGCGAATGGATCAGCAGTAGATCGATATAACCCAACTGCTTTACCTTCTCAAGACACCTCTTGATAGCTCTCTTGGCGTTGCCGTAGCCGTTTTCGCTATTCCAAAGTTTGGTGGTGTACTTCACGTCCTCACGGCTATTGCCTTCGTCCAGCCATTTCGAGATTCCTTCACCGCACTCTGCCTCATTCCCGTATAGAGAGGCACAGTCAATGAGACGATAACCAGTCTTCAGAGCCTCGTACACAACTTTGGCTGTGGCAGAGTTAGGCACTTCCCAGGTCCCCAGCCCGACGGTGGGGAAGGCATGACCAGATGATAATTGAATGAGTTTCGGAATAGGAGACATCTTGCAGGATAAATATACGTCAAAATTAGTCCCGATATAGATCAATTGAGTGATTATTCGCGAACAAATCACTAAAGAACCGTACACTTCAACGCGCAATCTTCACGGAGCTCACCAAGTCGCAAGTTCCGGTCAAGTTGGTCACGTGACTAGACATCCCAATCCGGTTATAAGTTCCAACTCATTGCTTCAGTATCGGATCCCTTGATAAATGGTTCATCGATAGAGCTTATCTTGATGTCACTGCAAAGACAACATTTTGTGGTGAGCGCTTCATCGATTTCCTTCTGGAGACTCTTTTTGGATTCGCCGTTCTCGTGAGACTTGAGCTTCTTTTGAAGAATGTAGATTTTATTTTTCAGCTTGTAGTCATTGGAGTCCAGTATGTTTCTCACCAAACAGTCCTGATGGAACGAGTGATTGCACGGAAAGATGAAGAACTTGCGAGTGATCAAGATTTTGTGGCATATCGAGCACGATTCGGTGGGTTCCAAAATCTGAAACTTTGTCTTTTTGAATTCGACGATTTGCTTGTTGATTTTGTCGCTTGTTCTCATGGATTCGTCCATTTCCTGAGATATCTGTCTGAGCTCTTTGGAGTATGTCTCCAACGATGACACCATCTCCCGTTTGAAGTTGTCTATCACCACAAAATCCGGAAATAGAGGCAGTAAATCCTTGATTGTAAGCAATTCGCATCTTCCCAATAAAAATTTTAACACGTCTTCGATCTTATTGGATTTGTTGTCACCCTCTTCCACGTTATCCACTCCAATCAGTTTCAAGGCCTCATCACGCTGTTTCACGAACGTCTCGTTCATAGCCACCTTGGATATGAGCTTTTCCGAGATCTTGAGCCAGAGTCTTTTTCTTAGTGCTGATTTGCTGGGGTCCATAGGCTTATCAGCAACGTAAGTGGCCACCTCGATCAGGTCGTTCTCCAGAGCTAGCTTCACTGCATCCTCGTAATTCTCGAGCATGGAGTACACGTAGATAGCAGATTGGATCTTTTTGTATCTGAAACATAATCTCAGTATGAAATCCGTGTCAAAATGTATTTCTGCCTTTCCTGATCTCCTTCCGAAGCTGGAGTCGGTCTTTGGACTGTGATTTTCCAAATACCTCAAAATGAGGTTCTCGTTCTGCAGATTTGGATACGTGATCAGTATTGATAGCAAAGAATTGTGAACAACAGTTTCTTTGCACCCTTTTGTATCGATATAGAACTGTAAGAACTTCAAGGCGTGATTGTACTCCGGTAAAACTCGATTATTGATGGAACTGTTGAAAGTCAATATCGAGGGAAGGAGCTTCGTGATTTCTAGATTGTCTATGAGTCTCTTCCACACTTCCACTGTCTTTGCGGGTTGATTTATCAACAACACAGTTGCAAACTTGTACACAAACACAGGGTTGTTCTCTTTAGCAAGCACTTGCAACGCATCATCCCATTTCTTCAGAGATACGTAGAACCTCAGAACAACCTGGTAGTCATTTATGAGGTTGGAATAAAACACCAGCTCTTCTTTCCTGTTGTGTGACAAGATGATCTGGTAAACAGTTTCTTTGTCCAGGAAGTCTTTGTACTTCTTCAGGAAACTCTGGTACTCTTTCTGAGTCTTTTCTAGTTCCTGTGAATGAGGCAGCTCCAGAGCAACATCGTGTTCTAGAATATTGTTGGTCAGATTGGAAGACTTAGCAGAGGCAATATCGTTGTCCAACTCATTTAGTCTCTCGATAAACAGTTCCACAACCCAGCTGCTCACCATAACTCTCTGCATGTAGTAGGATCTTGGAAGTTTCGAAAGCTTGGCTATGAGATACGTCCGTAATCCATTCATATCCGTATCAAGAAACTTCAACGTAACGGTCTCAAAAGGTTCATCTGTTTCAGCTAAAATCTTTGCAGCCTCCAGATATGAACCTTTCTTGAACAAATCCCCGCCCTTTGCTTTTAACACTTTATTTCTATTGGAGGTATCTGTGGGCTTCAACATTCCAAGTGCCTCGTCGTACTTTTTCTGTTCGTACATGATTGACCAGATATCCGAAGCCTCGTCTTCCACCACGATCTCATAGATGTTCATGCTGGTATAGAGCCAATATGTACCCTTTACATGGTCTCCTGAGAGTCCTAGTATCTTCTCCCCATCGTACCGTGGCACCTCCAGAGAAGAAACCAACTTTCCATTCAGTTGGTTGTAGAACCTAATCTCATCATTCACCATTATGGCCACATGGTACTTGGTGAAAGTCATGAATTTGAATTTCTCTTTTGCAGATGAGATCTTGAATTCAGGCGCTTTTGAGTCGAAGGAATCAATGGAGCCAAACGTAAGAAACTCCTGATTCTGCCCAGTGGAATAAACCAATCCAAACTTTTCCAAGTCAGCGCCCACACATCGTATTTCTTCCTTTTTGGAGACAACCAAAGCATCTTTCTTGAACTCAGCAGCAAAGTTGGATGATGTAGCATGAAATACCGCAATGAAGACGTCAAACCTCAGTATTGTACCATCTTTTTCAGAAACAAGCACCAAAAACCTTTTTTCGTCCTTCTGAAGAGCAGATATCGAGACCACCCCTGTCTTGGTCTTGTTGTTCCAAATTTGCTTCACAAACCGGTCGGCCTTGCCTGAGTCGATGATGCACTCATAAATAACACCTCCACTAGTCCCAAGCAAAACTGGGCCAGAGTTGCTCGAAGTAACAAGATTTGGTATGAATTCCATACAAGTGACGTGCAAGCCCTTCAGTTTCGCCAGAGGCCGTGAGACCGTACTCTTGTGGTTAATGTAATGGTACTCGTTTGACGCTGTTTGTACGACCAGGTGACATCCGTGGGGATCCACAAATGCATTCACAACGCGATCTCCGGAGCCATTCACATTCGAAGAGGAGCCCTTGCTGAAGATGTTGATCTGGAACACTTTCTCAGGATTATTTAGGTCGATCCTGTAGACAACACCCGACTTGAGAACAAGCCAGAGGACATTGTTAGATACCAACAATCTGGAGATATCCGTCTGGATCTGGAATTGAAGCTGTACAGGCTCCAATTGAAACATGGAACTTGCCGAATCCATGTCGGAAACGAGATGTTTCTGTATATTTGAGTCGATTGGTTTGTTGCGTAGTATCAATTGGCTATCTACCTACCCAGGTCTGGTCTCAAACGTTATCAACCTTAGATGTAGTTTGTTTGTACACGACCTTCAAATTTATCGTCTTCGAGAAGTCCCTCTTAACTATGGTTTTGATGTGACCGTGCTCTTCTGCAGATATCCAAATAGTTCCCACGTGATGGCTGTTGGAATTCCCGTTAAGCTTTTAAACGAAGCGCAAGTATGTGTTTAGTTGTTCGTTTCTGAAAAATGGCGTTGTTGCAGCGTATAGTTACTAACCGCAATAGGGCCATGTCATCAGCTTAGAGCTGACATCAGGCGAGACATACAGGGGAAAACTACTAGAGTGTGAGTTGTTTTTTATGTTTTTCTTTTGGCTGCTTTCAGCATACTAACTTCAGCCCTTTTTAGCCGAGGATAACATGAATGTACAGCTGAGAGACGTGACCGTCACGGCCAGAGACGGTGCTGTGACACACGTGGAACAGGTTTTCGTGAGAGGGTCTCAGGTGAGGTTTTTCTCGGTGCCGGAAATGTTGAAGAACGCCCCTATGTTCAATCCAAACCACGTGAAGCCTCCTCCACCCATCAGAAACCTGAGGAGGAGGTGAAGAGGTCAGGCTCGGTAGGGGGAAAATCTCCAATTGCTCTGACGGCGGCGGGAATACTACTTACAGTGTATACTATGAAAAATTCGACAAAATAATGCTGAAATATTGCTTAAATATTGTACCTAAATAATGGTTTTTTACCCAGCCTTTGTTCCTCTGTGAGGGCCCTCCTAATCGCTTCTGTAGAGACACGCTCCTAGATCATCATCGTCTTCAATTAACAAGACAACTTCCTATAACAATCCCTCTCTTTATCACCAGTTCAGACCACTCAATGAGCACCAGAAATCCGGACTTAGATTCCGAGTTGCTTCGGTTCTACCAGATCAGAACTCTCAATCCCAACTCGTGGGCCAGAGATAACCAGGCTGTTGACTTTGCTTATCCAGAGACGGATGATCCAGCCTCAGACGAGTACTTCTCACTATTGCCTCAATTGATGAACACAGATGCAAACGACCGCTCGGACTATGCGATCGGAGACTCCTCTCTGGACTATATGGACCCGTTGGGTTTCCACGAGTCAATCGTGGATGAGTTGATTGATAGAGACGTGGTCGAAAGTACACGCGACCCGGCCAGACTAAAATACCTGATTGGTTCCAAATCCTTCAATCCAAAGCTGTTTCTGAAGACTATTCACAACGACAAGAGTTTTGACCAACTGAACTCCGCCCTGGGCTACTTGGATAGCGAGATGCAGAAACGAAACAAGGATCTAAGACAGATAGTTGAGCTGGAATTCTCGAGTTTCATCAAGGCTAAGGGCTCTCTCGACAATATATATACGCAGTTTGCGAAAACCAAGTTCGAGGGTACAGACGATAATCCTGGTCTTCTGGGAAAATTGTCTGGGTTTGTGAATAGTGCAAGTGCGAGTTCTACGCGACTGTTGAACCCAACACTAGAGAGCAAAAGCCGAGAGTTGGCGGTGGAATCCACAATCTCGTTCGTTCAGGAAAACAAGCTACTTTTCAACCTTCCATCTAGTCTTCAGGACTACATTTTGAAAAATGATTTCGATTCTTTGATCAACGACTACGAGAAAGGCAGAGCGTTATATGATGCTCAGTTGCAGTCGTGTGCACCTGCGGTGGTGAAGATCCTGAACAGAGTGTGGGATGAAGTCGAGCAAATCATATCTGAGTACAAGGAGAACCTGTGGAGAAGATTAGACTCCGTTGAGCTTGATACTGTCACCAATGTGAGTCTTCCTTCAAGCAACAATGAGAGGAACTTTCTGACAACTGTGAACAAGCTTTTGGAACTTGGTGTGGAAGACAATCCTTTAGTAGTGTTTCTGGAGAGTCAATACACGAAGGTTTTGGGGGAGCAAAATTCAGGAAAATGCCATGCCTTCCTTCTCAAAATGGTAAAACTCGACCAAAGCATCAAGCAGACATATACAGAAGGTTCTGCTGTCTCAAATGTTGCTCTCAAGTACCTTTATGGTTTGTTCATTGACAAGCCCGTGATAATGGTTGATCACGGTGCCATGGTTAAGGACCTACCCTTAGTGATGGAGATGTGGATGGCAATAACCTCATATGTCAAAGAACTGGTGGAAGGGGTACTGACGAAGAAAATTGTTAGATTCGGACTCGTTTCCGATTATTTCACAAACAGAGAGTTTCAAAGGGCACGCCGGCAGATGTACTCACAAAGAGATCCGTCATCAATTGCTATGAGAGTGCAGAATGCAAATGTTCACTTGGAACTAGGAGATGTTCAAATCCAAGATATCAGGAAGAAGAACCAGTTTCTCATTACTGCTGTTTGTGACAAGCTCACGAGGCTCTTCATGGCTAGCTCTCAGGACTTGCCGGGATTACTTAACATGTCTGGCCAACCCGTTGCTCCTGGATCCCCTGTGAAGAACGATGGATCTCTCTCTTCTTATGGCTTTGTGCCTTCTTTTTCGAACACGATATCGACTCTTCGGTATCTTCTTGAGTTGCAACGGTTGATCAGCGAATCGATGGCCAAACTCACATCTGCCAGGGCGTCCGCATGTACTACTGCCTCGGTTGTTGAAACTTTGAGAGAAACTTACCGCAAAATTAACAGCAGATTCATCAGCTGCGTTCTCGTCTTGATGGTGAAGGATGCTGAGAAAATCAACCAGCTTGAAACGTGGGAGAAGTCCAAGACAACTCCTGGCTGCACGGCTCTCATTGACTTTATGCGTAACTATTTCGAGACAATGTTGCCTCTTTTCTCAGATCTGGTATTCAACGTGATGGAAACACCAATCTCTGATGATATGGGGTTGTTACCAAGCTACCCTGCGAAAAAGATATTGAGCGGAATCGAGTCTCAGTTTGTTCGTGCTTTGAGAGTGATTCTGGAAGCATCGGTAAGGAAAGAACTTCACGACACACAAAGTGCAGAGTCGGTTGATGCTGCTAAAGAACATAGAATGCTGAGTCTCGGAAATGTCTCAGAAATGAAGTCCAGTGTGTTCCCAGCTATCATCCAAACGTATGACCGTGCTTTCCGCTCCAACTTATCCAAGCAGAACCTGGACCTGTACCCTACTTTGGAGAACGTTGAGGTCACTTTGTTCCACGATTACATTGTCACATACTACCCAGCAGTCCAAACCATGATCAAAGAAGGAATAGCCAGAGTGGATTGGATTACGCCCAACCAACCCGTCTCGGCAAGTGAGTACATTCACAAGCTGATCATGTTTCTGATCATTGCTAAGTCCAGCATAACGTCAAACTCGACGAAGCTTCCTCTTTCAAATGAGATATTCAAAAATTTACAGGCGTATATGTTGAGGACAATGTTGGATTCTTTGAGAAGAGTCGACAAATTCTCAGAAGGAGGTATTTACCAGCTAATATTCGATCTGCTTTTCTTCGCCAGAGTCCTACAAAATACTCTTTCGGGGTCTGCAGACTCTGCTCTTCAGCAGATATACAAAGAAGTTGTTGATCCACGCTTTGGAAAGCAAAGAGATTACATGATTAATTCCCTTTCTGAAAGGGTGAAAAAAGCTTTGAGCTCAAGTGCAGCTGAATACGCATGTTTCAGGGCATAAAAAAGTTTCCAAATTTTGCCCAAATAAGTACTACGGTTCGTCATCTCTTCAGAAAAAACGTTTCTTCTGTATTATATCAAGATAATGTACAATTGGTTTATTTTCTCCTCTTCAAAACACTGGCAGTGAGCTCCTTCAGCTCCCTGATCTTTTCCGCTATATCATTGTTCTCACCAAAATTGAGGTCCGAAACCCTTTTTACAATTCCAGAGCCGATCGAGGAGTTGGCATGAGTTGATGTCGACATGTTGGAGAAAGTCCTTGAACGAGAGGCTATTGGCGTAGAAGTGGACAGAACACCCGTGAAACTTGTATGTAATGGAGACTTTGGAACTCCTGAAAACTTCCTTCCAATGGACTGTAAGATGCCACCAGTTAATGACCTTGATGTCCTCAATCTCGGTATTGATGGTGCTAACGACGATCTTATGTGTGCTAGCTTCTTCTTCCGTTTGTCTTGCTGAGATTTGGTAAGCATGTTCACATAGCTGTTTTCTTTGGTAGAGCTGGAGGAAGAGATTGAAGATATCGAATGGTCTTCACGAACGGTGTGTCTCAGGTGCAACGACTTGAGCATATCCTCCAGTGCTGGCTTGATCAAATCCTCATTTTCACCGGAGTTCATTTTAAGAACTTGAATTCGAGCCACATGAGCCAAATGCTCTAGACTGGAAACTCCCAGGAGTTCGTTGATTTTCTCTTCTCCGACACTCTCGCAATTATAGACCAGAATCAAAATCGAGGATGAAAACTTGGAAAACTTCTGTAAATACGAAACAGCCTTGATCAAAACGTGTCTGTCTCCCTTCAACTTGCGTTCAGGGGATGTCTCAGCTGTATCAACCAGCCCAAACTGAAAAAGCACAAACCCGGCTGATGAAAAGAACTGTCTGGTGTCAAAATCATCCGGCAGGGAAGTGAACTTAATTACAGCACCCTTTTGACTGGTGACTGTGTTCTCATAAGCGTTGTTCGTCTTTACGAGCGAAAAAATACCACGCAGATGCTTTGACTCTCTGCTGTTCCAGTCTTTGGCAATCAGAAGAAACGATGCAGTACCCACAAAAGGTAGTCTATCCGTCATCAGCTTGAGGTCTAAGGGCTCCGAATCCCTATTTTTCACTTCGGAAGTAGCCTTCTTCCTCGGAAGGGTAGCAACGCTAGATAGCGATGGGTTCCTCTCTCGTTTCTTACGGATCACTGGTACCGAAACCTTGGTCGAGCGAGATGTAAATGTCTCAAGCTCCTGCAATTTGCGATCCTTGTAGTTTTTTCTAGTGAGACTGACCCGGGCCTTTGCTTCGATATTCTTAAGAGCCCGTCTCTTCAAAAATCTCGCACGCAAGTCATCAGCCATAGCTTCAAGCGTAGTCTGGTATACAATTTCGTCCACGAATGCACGCAACAACTCTTTGGAAAACTGGTCAAGAAGCTGATCACGCTGCGCAGTTTTCTGTCGATGTTGGGCCTCTGATCTCAGTACCTCGGTGCATATGGCATTCACGGAATATTTGGTTAGATGATGCAACATGGACTGAACAACGATCTTGCTCGCAGAAGGGAAGTTTGTTCTTTCCGTTATCTTCAATTTCTTTGGTGGAGCTGCGGATTCCGGCTTAGGAGGATGTGAACTTGGTGTGATTTCAGTTGGCGCGGGTTGGAATGGAACTGAAGAGGGGAGAGTCGTCGGAACTGGTGCACCAAATGTGAACGTAGGTTTGGGCTGAACGTCTGAAAGGTCATGCTGAGACTGTTTCTTTGTAAGACCATCATTACCGTCAAAAGTAGAGGCTGTTTGTTGGAGCTGTTTGGCAAATACAAATGGCTCGGATGATGGAGGCACTGACTGGGATGCGGCGGAAGTATGATGGGCAACAGTGGGCGTAATGATACTGCCTCTTTGGGCCATTCTTTCAAAGTCAAATGGAGGTGTGTCTGTTCCAGCAGGAAGAGTCAGGCTTGGTTGCTGATTACCCAGAGAAACACTTTCACTGCGGACACCTGAGTTGACAATCTGTACAGGCGTTGTGGAAGCTAGTCTCTGGTTCAGAACTGGAGAGAAATACTGCAGCATGCTGTTCTTGAAAGATGAGGCCTTCATATCATTCACTTTAATTCTTATTCCAGTAGGATCCTGCTCTTGTGGTAGATTGTAGGCATTGGTGAAAGCGAAGAACTCTTCCACATTGAAGAAACCAAGACAGTCAGAAATGCTCACCGCCAACGGGGCTTTGCTCGAAGAATGGTACGCCCTTGCCATTGATACTAAAGCAGAAAACCGTATCTCATTAAAATGCGATTCGCACAGAAATGCAGCCAATAACGGAGTCTTGTGGTCATAGACAGCTCTGAAGAAAACAGAGTATACGTTGAGGGAGCCTGGGGTTCTTTGCTGTGCCATTACCATCCCTCTCAACATCAGGGCTCGCTGAAATCCTTTATCATGATAAACTTCGGTTGGCAAAGTCTGTGACTTTCGGTCCAGCTCAGTGTCCTTGAGGTTAAGCAGGACCTCGTATGCTCTAAACTCTGCCTCATTTGGACAGTTCCCACCTCTGGATCGTATATCGTCATACATATGTGTCAATGTTTGTAAAGAGTTCGTAAATTGTTCAATCTCTTGTTGCTGTGAATAGTCTGGATCATTTGCACCGGCCATGATATGCAGTGATAGCAAGTGAATCCGACATATGCGTTCGTGACAGTCAACAGATTCAGGTCCAGAGTAGTTGTTCTGAAACGTAAAGTCTTGTCTTATCGACCTAGTCCTGTCCCAGATAAAACTCTGAGATTCAGGAAGTTGTTGCAATAGGTTCTCTATCATGTAATCCAAAGTTTTCACCAGAATGTGGGGTGGTCTAACGTCAGATGGTAATGGAGGAGGTTGTCCAGAGGGCCGCACAAACGTTTTGACGGCTCTCTCACGAGATATACGTCCTGAAACGGGATCCTTCTCCCACTTGGAAACTTGTTTCTTGTGGATTCTCTCGATTCTCTCGTTCACAGGACACATGTCTAAACAACTTCCTCTGAAAACTAAAGCATCGGTGAGTGTTTTCTTGGCATTTTCAGCATCAACCAAATTTGCTCGTTCCATTTCTTTCCTTTCAGCTTCTCGCATCTCTCTGAATTGGTCAAACAACGGCTGTATATCCCCATTATGATTCTTCTCCAAGTCTAGTAATCTTAGCTGGTTGGCTCTGTCCCAATCATTCTGGTAAAACGGTCTTGACTCAAACTGACCGTCATGTTGTAGCATGTAATCTGGAGTCTCCTGTTTGCGATGTTCAAATCTCGTATACCCGAACTTTTCGGGGTTCCTCACCAACGGTCCCAAGAACTGGGACTGTATCCTCTCTAGTGGATTCTGTGGTCTGGGCTCAAACGGAGCAGATCCAGAATTGCCTGCATTTTGATCAATACTTTTTCTCACAGGTACTGGCTTTGGTCTCCGACCTGTTGATACAATCCTTTGGCCCGAAGACACCTTTCCTCCCCTGCCTTGACCTCTACCTCTAGAGGCATTGTCTCCACGAACAGGCTTTGCCCTGTCGGACGTTCCAGACGGCACGCCCGGTCGTCCCGGTCTGGTACCCGGTCTATGCGGCCTCTTGCTTGGCTCAACGGGTATTGAAGCCATGGACCAGCAAAAATGGGCAAGTGGTTGTGGGTCGTGGGTTTGAGTTGGGGTTTAAAGAAAGTAGTGTCACTCTGTTAGGACTCTCAAAGCGCTAAACACACCAAAATTAAGATTTGTGGTACACGACTCCTCCAAACCATATGCTGAGGTAACAAGACTTTACAGAATGCGCTCTTTGCTGAGTGTCAAACAATACGGTCTCTTGACAAATCTCACAAAATGGAGACTCAGAAGGGTAGTCCATATGACTCGGCTACATTTGGCAATTCCCTTTCTTTGAGAGTGGATGGGGCCATTGGGGCCATGTCTTTGTCTCCTTGTGGGAGGGACGCTGTCCTAGCAGGGTAAGTTGTAGTTGCCAGCTTCCATGTTTGAACAATTACTAACGTGATATAGACGTCGAGGATTGTTTGTGATTGATCTCGATGATCCGTTTGCTCAGCCGCGGTGGCTTCACCATGTTACGTCATGGGAAGTGGCTGATGTGCAATGGTCTCCGCACAAGTCGAAGCCATCATGGGTGGTTTCCACTTCCAACCAGAAGGCTCTGGTCTGGAATCTCGCGAGATCCTCCACAGACGCAATTGAACATGTACTACATGCCCATGACCGAGCCATTACCGATATAAATTTCCACCCCGATAACCCGGAGGTGCTGGCTACTTGTTCTGTCGATACGTTCAGTTTTGCTTGGGATCTACGAACTCCAAGAAGACCTGTTGCCAGATGGGCGGACTGGCGGTCTGCCACTTCGCAGGTGAAGTGGAATTACAAAAATCCCAACATCATTGCATCTGCGCATGATAATTACTTTTACATCTGGGACATGCGAAAGGGAGCCATGCCTCTGGAGAAGATTATGGCCCACAACGGTAGGGTCAATGGTCTGGATTTTAGCCGTGACCATGAAACAGAGATTATATCGTGTTCGAATGATATGACGGTCAAGTTTTGGGATTACGGAGAGAGTGTGACTGAGCCGAAGTTCACTATTAACACAGATTTTCCCGTAAGTCGAGCAAGACATGTTCCATTTGGTGATAAAGGATGTGGTATTATGCCAGCACATGGTGGAAACAATTCGGTCTATATTGTGAACTACAAAGATCAGACAGGTGAATCGAAATTGAGACCTGGCTACATATTCAAGGGCCACACAGAGCCTGTTAAGGACTTTCTGTGGCGGTCAAGACACTCTGACAACACTTCTGTCGACGATCGTGATGTACAGTTGGTTACATGGTCCAAGGATAATGATCTGAGATTATGGCCTGTTAGTGAGGACATTTACGATAGATTCAACTATGAAAAGAACAAAGAACTGCCAGAGGGCACGAAGTTGATTGATTTCGACTACAGGACGTATAGGAGTGAGCCTGTGACAAGCTCCGATGACAGACTCAAGCGGTTCAAGAAGGATGCGTTTGTATCCAGTCGCGGATCCAGTTCACGCGATAATCAGTTTAACCATCTCGACTGGATCTCGGGTGTGAGAATTGGACAGTCGGCGCAGGCGCCTTCAGATAGTCCCAACGCATTCTCGTTTGGTGGTGACAGTTTGCAGCCTGCCAATCTAGGAGAAGAAGTGAGCTCTGTGGGCCATAAGTTCCCCAAATTGAGGTTTGAGAAGATCTCTGTTTCCACGGGCCAGCTGATTCTCTCTTTAAATGGTCCATGGTCTGCAACTAACAAAGAAGACCTGGTGTTCCTTAGAATGGAGATCAACTTTCCTAAAGACTACCCTTCGAAAACAGGGAAACCAACGTTCAATATAGAAGAGAATCAAGATCTAGATTCGGAAAAGGAGAAGGAAATACTGCAGAATTTGAACGAAATATCTGAGAGGTTCTGTGGAGCAGGAAGACATTGTCTAGAGCAATGTTTGCGTTCTCTATTGGGTGAAAAAGTCAGTTTAGAGTTTGATGCTTTTGATGAGAATGATCTTCCTCTGGACCCATTTGACATCCCTCAGGCTGGGGATTTCAATGACGTTGAGTCAATGCCTACCAGTTTGAGTGATGACTCGGACGATGAACTGGTTCCCATTACTTCTACATCGGTTCAAACGGAGACAGATGGGATGCCTTTTACCAAGCCTGCTTTTGATAGTACCCCCATTCCAAAAGGATGTGGTGCGGTATGGACGGCTAGTGGACATCTCGTATGTTTCTTTATACCAAAACATGAGGAAAACAAGCCCACTCAGCTGAAGTTTGATCAGCAAGGATTTACCCTCGCAGGAACTTTGAAGAAAAAGAAAGCAGGATCTTCTGTTGGTGATGCATCTTCCAAAGGTGGAAGGGTTGCTTCCTCCAAGCTTGAAGATTCTTCTGGTGAGTCGTCTGATAGTGACTCTTACTCTTCTGATGACAGTTTCTCCAACGATCTAGACATCCTGCAGAATGATCGACCATACAGATCTGCCGTAACAGGCTTGATGCGGAAGAATGTTGGCTTAAGGCATTATACGCTGGGAGAGGCAAAGAGTGCGACTTTGGGAAATGCTTCGGTTCCTACTGAAAGATCTTTGGGAACACAAACCTCAAGAGGTCACAATAGTAACATTGTCACGATTCATGACTTCAGCGATTTGATCCCTTCGAAAATGGAACTGGCATATGAATACCGTATGCTTGGAGATACTCCCGAAAAGCTATCAGTCCACAATGCTGCAGTGGCTGAAAAGTATGGCTACAAGGATATTGCTGATTGCTGGAAGATCTTGGAAGTAATACTGGTCAAGGATGTTCATCTGCCTGACATTCTAAACAACAGTGACTTATCGGTGGTCCTGCAGCATGAGCTCCATCAAAAGTTTGTCACTGATCTCAGCAAAGTTGATGTTGAAACGAACTACCGCTTCTACTGGGGAGCACATCCTTTTGGAAGCAGATGGTTGGCCAGAGCGATCATGGAATACTATGAGAAGTTAGGGAATATCCAGATGCTTGCAATGCTGGCTTGCATCATGCACGAGCACAAGTTGCATAAGACAGATCCAACCATTCCGATTCACACTCCATATATGAGGCCTCCCACTTTGGTGAACAAACAGAGTGTCATTGGCAGGTTTGCTTCCGCGAAAGGTTCCAATGTGGGAGATAACGAGTTGGAGGCTGTGGGAAACTCTGCCTGTAGTTCTGTTTCTTCCTACGATGCCTCTGGGTCTGTGAGTTTCCACTCCGGATCTCCTGAACGTTTTGGAAGTTATTTCAAAAGAGGAATTGGGAATGTGCCGCCTTTGCCTGGTGTCTCGCCAACAAACTCAGGCTCAAGGAAGTCGGTGGTCACCATGACCTCCCGAACGTCCAGTTTCTTAATCCCACAAAAGTCTCACATCCTCCAGGGAGCTCCCAAGGTCAAGATCCAAATGTTCAACGAGGTGGCCTTAGATCTTTCGGATGATGTCTACTCCGTTCCACTTTTGGATCCTGCTTTCGAGGAAAAATACCAGATGTACCGTTCCCAATATGCAAGTCTTCTTTTCTACTGGGGTTTGCCTGTGAACAGAATCAAGGTTCTAAAGTTTAACTATGAAGATTCTATTTTCAAAAACTCAGCAGCAGTTGATGAATACCGAGGCCAGGTTGGCCTGAATGGGTACTCTGATACACACATCAAAGATCTATCCAAAGCGAAGGTGTTGAAGGAGCAGAAGCTGTGTAACTACTGCTCCATGACCATAAAGAAGCGTTTGATTGTGTGCACTACATGCAATCACATAATGCATGCTGATTGTGCGATGCAATGGTGGGAGGGTGAACAGCAGACTGAATGTCCCGGTGGATGTGGCTGTATCTGTCTCTCCAAGAAGTTTTACGAACATTAAACATGATAAGACATTGACGAATATACGAAAAAACACGATCATAGCAACGAATAAAGTAACGGGAGAGTAGGCCTTTAGATGATGCATTGCGGTGTTGTCAGATCTAAAAAGTGTCTTCAAAGATTATATTCATTTCTCCTAGAAAGTATCTTCCAGAAATTTGGTAACAGTAGCCACCAAATCTTCAAGTGCTCCTTTTTCAGATCCAACTCCCACATTATGGCGTGCACCAGGAACAGGCTTGCTCAAAGGGGACCAGTACTTGGAATCTGTAGCCGACTTCCAATCATCCAGCAGTTTCACCTTATCCACTGATTTAGGAACAAACTCATCAGAACCACTAAAAACCACCAAAATTGGCTCATTGACCTTCCCCCAGGTTTTGGCATGGTCTTCAGGTGTGAGATAGGTTGAGAAGAAATCATCGTCTCCTCTTACAGAATACAGAGCATTCCATCTATAAGCACTGATAGGACAATCCAAAAACGAACTGCAATACTCATATGGCATTATTTCATTCTCTCGTCCGGCTGCAATCATAGTCTTTGCCAGTTCAACTGATTTTTCAAGCTCTTCAAGAGGAATACCTACCCCTAGAGCAGCCTCTCTATCGGAGGCACCGGCCTGAAGAATGTATCCATTTGCCTTGGTAGAAGATTTTTGCTCAAACTTGGATGCATACTGCATTGTATCCTGACAACCAGTTGAATGGCCCATGATAACTATTTTTTCCCTTTTTCCACCTGCCTCTGATCTGAGGAAGCTGACCAATTGGCTGATGTCCTCCGCATCCCTCTTCAAAGATCCGGACCCCCAACCTATGTATGACGATCTGATGTATATCTGGACCACCGACCATCCAATCTTGTTCAGACTAGTGGAGAGTGCAGGAAGGTATGGCAAGGTGGCAAATCCATCTCCGAGTCCGCCAATGAACACCAGAGTTTTTTTACTTGAAAAGCCGTTGAACTCGAAGGCCATCATTTTAGGGGCATACTCGTAGAATGTTCCCGACTGAGGAACAGGTAGAACCGGGTACATATCCATTTTGAAGTGATTAGCAATAAATTGAGTCAACCGGCGCAGAAAAGAAGGAGATAAAACAAAAAGGTTAACGAGTAAGGCAGTAATATCAAGGTTGGTCTGAGGGATACGCCTCTTATCGTCCGCGCCCCAAATTTCCTCTTTAGGAAGGGATCTTATCTCTTACTAAAATAGCTTATCAGTTGAGTTCAAACGGGCCAGTATTGGAGCTTTTAAATGGTTTGGAAATATCGCTTGTATGGCTGGAAGCTTGTGTCATGTTTTTCGTGTCTATGTATTGTGTTATGCATCAAGTTCTCTGGAACTATCCATGATCTTATCCCAAGGGGACTTGATGACCGAGTACAGTTCACTTAGACTGAGAAACCCCACACCCACAGCCAGTCCAAGCCAAAGACCAAGCACACCCAAGTGCAACTTGAAGCCCAATAATAACTCAAATGGAGTGGCAATGATGTAGTAACTGCACAGGCTTAAAATGCTACCGAGTCTTTGTCTGCCCTGGCCTCGTAAAATGCCTGCCATTATGACGTTGGTACAGTCTAGCAACTGGTTCAAAGCTAAAACCATACACGATCTGGCGATAAGCTCGACCAACTGGGGATCCTCCGGAGCAAATAGTTGCCCTAATTGATATCTCAACAAAATTATCCAAGCAAAGTTGAAAATGCTCAGGGCAGATGCAATTGTGACTGCTGCCCTGACAACGGTAATATAGCCCAGGTTCCTGGAACCTATTATATTGGCCATTCTAGTAGAAGCACAAGTGGAAACGCTAAAGGGAAGTTGAAACGCAAAACTCGCAAGTGTGCTTATGACGCTCTGGGCTGCCAGTTGATCAGATCCTAGAGCAGTTGCAAAATATGTCAATACCTGGAAAGCCATGGCTTCCGACAGGATCATGAGTATGCCAGGGATTCCCAGTTTAAGAAGAGGGTACCAATCGGAAAATAATTCTTCAAAAGTGACATCACTTTTCCAGCATTGGTATCCATCAATAAACGTGATGTAACCCACTATAGCCAACGCCATTGCCCAATACGTCAATAGGAAGCTCACAAAAGGACCATCAATGCCCAGCTTGGGCAAAAGGTAGATATTGAGCCCAATTGAAAGCGGCAAGGCTCCCAATATGATCCTGGTGGGGGCATCAAACTTGGTTTGTGATTGGAGGAATCTTTTTCCGCACTCAAACACGATTCCCGCGGGTGCCACTATAGGCATGAATTTGAGACATCTCTCGCAAAGCGCTACGAGGTCTTCATCATCAGAGATGAAGCGGAAAAACGCGCTCGGGTTCATCCAAAAAGGAATGACTGCAAGCATCATACACAGCATTATAGTAAAACATCTCTGACAATACAAGCCAACTTTCTCGAATCGTCCTGCACCGTAGGCCATTGAACAGTAGAAGTCCATAGCTGTAGTAAAGCCATTGAAAAACACTGGACCTGTGAGATAAAAAGTAGTCAGCGAGAGAGAACAAGCACTTAGGTACTTGGGGCCCAATTGGCTTGCATAGTATATCGGTACCAGTGTTTGTACGGAGTATTGGAAGGTGAACGTTATCAATACCGGAGCTGAGTTTTTCACCAAGAACCAGATCTCTGCCATGCTGGAAGAAGCACTCAGTTCCTTCTGGTATATCGAATTTGGAAGTAAGTTTGTGGTCTCTGTGACACTGGCATCGATTGTGGACGACTCGCCGAGACTCAGCTGAAAATTTCCAATGTGATTGTAACCATGATGCGGTACAGATTTGGGACTCAATTCTGGTGATCGGTACGGCACCCTCGATCGGGGACTAACCTGAGGAGAGAGGGTCATCAGATGAAAACCAAAAAATAAAAAAACAAAGAATGCACAATAAACAGTCTTTGCCTAATTAGCCTTGGCAAAAATCTGGCAAAACTTCAAGCTCGTGATGCACTGTTAAGAATGACTTAATACCAGAAAGAGTCAAGGCAGCCTCAACCAAACCTTCGGCGCAGACCCCTTTTACTGCACGCCTGCTTATCTGATAAGGGGTCCCCATTTGGGGGTTGGGGATACCATTACCGTCATGAAAGCTTGAGATTTTTCAAAATAGATTTAGTTCTTCCGTGTGAAGCGTAATGCCTTTGTGTTTTTTTTTTCTATGAATTTTTTGGTGCTTTGAAAGAAAGCGTGCGTTCTATTGTCTTTGCAGCTAGGGTGATTGGTGCGGCGTTAGTTTGTTCGGAAGAGAGTAGACATAGCTTTGAAGACATGAGGCGAAATAACTCATAAAGTTTAAAGCTAAGCAAGAGTTATAGAGTTTACACAAATTCCTTCTATACTAGCTGCATTTTTTCGTATTTCCGTGCTGGATGGTTGGATCTTAATAAGATGCAAATTGTTTATCTGCTTTGGGTAAAAATCTGGAAAAGACCAAAATTCTAGGAAAAAAATGAAAACTTTGAACTATATTTCCTGCCTGGATACTGCCGCATTGCACTAGGGTATCCAAAGGAGTTTGAAGGTCCATACATCTCAAAATCAGCCCTACTTTGACGTATTCGTTGCTGGTATCTAGATCTTCTTACAAATACATATTCTGTGCGGCTCATGTCATTGGGTCTCAAATCTTGGAAAGACAAAAAAACTCCAAAATGTCCTGTTTTTTTTCCATAATTATCTCACAAGTTTTCCAAATATACAACAAAATCTTGATTATCTTCCTCACTGTAAATTATCCAGGTATCTCCAACTCCAGTTCTATATATATATCGTCTTTAGTGCCAAGGTCACTAAGGTAGTGCGCCATTCCAATCCTAGTCAAAAGCCTTAAAATTTCTGAGAACCCCACCGCCAGCTTTTCTACAACATTCTAATTGCTTTAGTACAGTCCCTCTCCGAAATGCCTAGAGACCCCTTGATTGGTATCGTTGGAAAGCCTTCAAGCGGCAAATCCACCACGTTGAATGCTCTGACCGACGCAGATGCCAAGGTTGGCGCTTTTCCATTCACAACAATTGATCCTAATAAGGCTACTGGATACCTTCAGGTCGAGTGTGCATGCAGCAGGTTTGGAAAAGAGGAGCTTTGTAAGCCAAACTACGGATGGTGCAAGGCAGGTAAACGGTTTGTGCCAATCATGTTGCTCGATGTTGCTGGTCTGGTTCCAGGGGCTCACGAGGGAAAAGGGCTGGGAAACAAGTTCCTGGATGACCTCAGACATGCCGATGCGTTGATCCACGTGGTCGATGTCAGTGGAACAACTAACGCTGAAGGAAAGGCCACCAGGGGTTATGATCCCTTGCAGGATATTGAATGGCTGCAAGACGAAATCAGGCGGTGGATTGAGGGAAATTTGCTGAAAAGGTGGGGATCTATCGTCAGAAGACACACTGCTACTAAATCACTTGTGGTGGATACGATGCAAGCACAATTTGCCGGTTATGGAGCTACAGGTCAGTTGGTAGCGAGGGCAATGGAGAGGGTCTCTGACTTGCCGCCTCTCCAAGACTGGGACAACGAGTGCATCACGAAGGTGGTCAAGGCGTTCATGGCAGAGAAATTCCCCACGGTACTTAGTTTGAACAAGATTGATCACCCCGACGCAGACAAAAACGTTTCCAAGATCATGCTCAAACACCCAAATACCAAGGCCGTGTTGACCTCGGCCATAACGGAGGTCTTCCTGAGAAAGCTTTCCAAACAGAAGTTTGTAGTGTATGATGAAGGCACAGAATTCGTGGACACTCTTGAGGACTTAGGTCCCGAATCGGGATTGAAACCCCTTGATGAGAAGCTGCTGAACAGGATAGAAAACATTAGGGACTTGGTTCTATACAGGTTCGGTTCCACTGGAGTGGCTCAGGTGTTGAAAGAGGCAGCCGCCGTGCTGGATCTGATTCCGGTTTACACGGTGCGGAACATGACCACTTTCACTGGTAACTCCGGCACCAATGTGTTCAGAGATTGCACGTTGATCAAGAGGGGAACCCAGGTTGGCCAGGTAGCCAGGCACATCATGGGCGAAGTAACAGTGGCCTCCATTGAAGGTGTAGGAGGAAAGAGGGTCAGCGCAGACGACTCCATCGACGTTGGAAAGAACGACATCCTATCCTTCAGACTTGCACATAGCGGTGGGACTACGATGAACTTTTGATAGACGTTTAAAGCGGAAATGTGTTGTATATATGTCAAAGTTGAATAAAGAGAGTTGTGAAAGCACAGGCTAAGAGTAACAGAAAAGGTACCAATGACGACGACAGACAGAACTTCAGGCTTATGCTGATTCGGCCTCGCCATCTAGAGTCTTGGAGTCAACGATCACATACTTCTTGAAATGTCTGGGAGGAACCTTTCTGTAGAACATGATATCCAGATCTTCGAAAGTTCTATTTCTGGTCTCTGGCAATCTGAAGTAAGCCCAGATCGAGCAGAAGATACAGATACCACCAAACACAAATCCAACCTTACCTCTCATGTTAGCCTCTTCAGCAGAGAACATGTATGGAAGGGCAACGGTAGTGACAATGGAGCAAAGAGACTGAATCGCAGTAGCAATAGCGATCGTCTTACCTCTGAGCTTGGTAGATGGGATTTCACCAATCAGAACGAAGGTCAATGGACCTGAAGTGGCCTGGTAAAGGAAAGTCCAAACCACCATGATACTAGCCTGCGCCCACGCGAGACCTGGCTTGGCCGAATAGTTTTTGGCACAGTCCAGGAAGGCAATGATGAACAGCAAAATGGTCATACACCCTATACCGAACAGATACATGGGTCTTCTACCGACCTTCTCCAACAATGGCCAACATAGAACGGTTCCGACGAAGCCCATAGCAGTCATACCAAGCGACATGTCGAAGGCTTTATCAGTAGGCAAACCTGCAACCTCGAAAAAGTTGGTTGCATAACCGATCAGTGGGTTACCACCAATGACCTGAATAGAATACACCATGATGCAGATTTCAGAACGGAAACGGTCGATTCCGGTGAAGCAGTCCCAGTAAGAGGTTTTGTTTTCCATCTCTCTTTCCAAGGCGTCAGTCTCCTTAATCAAAGACAGATTTCTCTCAATCTCTTCTTCGTCCACAGACCAGGCAAGCTTTCTCAGAGCAGCCTTGGCTCCCTCCATGTCGTTCTGGCGAACCAGCCAGTATGGAGACTCTGGAGCCCAGAAGATGACAGCCAGGATGATGACTGGCCAGACCCACTGAACACCAAAGGGGATTCTGTAGGCCCATTGGCTGTTGTTGGTAGAAAGACCCTTGGTGATACCAGACGCAATCAATTGGCCAATGACGAAAGCCAGATTGGTACCAGCAGTCAGGATACCACGCAGGGAAGTAGGTGCAACTTCGGAAGCATATGTGGGTCCAATTAGCACACACACTCCCCAAAGCATACCAGACAAGATTTCACCAGCGCAAAGCACCTTGATGTTAGGGGCAAAAAATTGCATGAATACGAAACCGATACAGAGCACGTTGACAGCAGCAAAACACTTCTTTCTGCCCCACCATTCAATAGGAGGGCCAGCAGCCAGAGTACCAACAACCTGACCGATAGGCGAACCCATAGAGAGACCAGATTGCCATGCAGCACTCACAGCCCAGGTGTCGTCTCCAACATAGTCTCCGTACTTCTTCTGGAAGGCTGGCAAGGCATAGAAGGAACTGATGATCTGCGCGTCATAGCCACACATGATCACACCGAGCGAGAAGATAATCGTCCAGAACACGGCTCTGGGATACCTTCTGCATGCCTCCCTCACACCAATCTGCTTCTCCTGCTCGTTGGCCCTGTAGGATCTGAGCATAATTTCCTTCATGCCGTCATCTTCGGGAATGTGGCCAGAGAGGACATTGGAAAGTGCCTGTTCCAAGTCCTTCACATCAACCTCAACATTAACCTCTTTCTGCTCGTCAGACATTGTGCAGATCGAACGGTTATTTGATTTCAATTTCGGTGTCTACTTCTATTTCAAAATTCGACCACGGATTACCTGCAGAATATATACAGATAAAGCTAAAAGGCGAGATCACTCATGTTACCTGATGCGTCTTTCTCAAATCGGAAACACTGAGGCGATGATACGGCTACCCTAGGTTTGGACGCTGTGCTCCCCACAGCATTCCTTTATCCTCTGCATGATTGCAATCTTTTGGCCCAAACCGATAATTGCAACCTCGATAAGCTTCGGAAACGAGATAGTCAAATCCGGTCTACGCATCGGGAAGTGGGCGTGCGTGAACCATGGAGATGACTCTCTGTAATTGGCTGGAGATTCTGTACGATAGCTTTCGGACCATGTTTCCATGAAGGAAACGATTCTCTTCCAATCAGCCTCTGCTCTTCTCGAGATAAATCATCCACCTGAATGGGAAATAGCGGAATTCACCTTCGTTGACTGCATATATCACTTATTGTTGGATATGAACCGGGCGTCCAAACCGCCAACAAACGAAATCGTATCATCTCCTATCTGCGTGTAAGTAGTAGCCCAATGAGAGATTTGGGAAAGTCAGCCCGAAAGGGATGATGTTGAAAGATGTTTGCCCGAGGTCTTCTACGCTTACTGAAATGATCTGTATTTGGAGAAAAGTTGTTTGTGTATTCATCAGTTTAGAGCAGACGGATACTCCAATCATAACGCGAGCATGCGAAAGCGAATGCGGCCAGCGCAACATCGCTACTAAGAATCATAATAATCTCAGAAATAGTGCTTCCGACGCGGGACTCTAACCAAGACTTAGCCTTAACCCAGATAGACTTGGAACCGCCGTATTTCAATGCAATGTCCAGAATTTCGCCGAAGAAGTATACCTCCATAGACTTTTTTCCAACCGTTCCCAATGCACGAAGAAGAGACACCGGGAGATAAGGAATACTCGCTTTCACCAGGGCACACTTGCAGATACTATAACCTGAGGTCATCAATGTAAATGTAGGAGACCACAGAGGTTTTGAGACAGGCAGAAACTTGGGAGACGCCAGAGACAGCAGTTTACCAGTAGCTAGTAAAGCACTACCACAGGCCAGAGCCTCAATCAGCGAAAACCCCTGCCGAGAGAACCAAGTTCCCGACCAAATCGTGACTGCTGTCATCAATGCACCTAGCAGGCCCTCGGGATCATAAGAAGAGCTGTAGATCCTATCCTTGAAAATAGGTTTGTCAATGCGCTGTTGGGCGGTATCCTCCGGCTTTGTGAATGGATCCTTGGGATCAGCTGCCAGAAACACAGAAATCGCAAACCAGGTAGCTGTACTCAGAACTGGAAATATATAACCCTTTTCAGGACTAGCACTCAATATAATTGAGGCCAAACCGTGTCTTTGCAACACGCCTGGTAGTCTCAGCCTGCCACCGTTCACGAGGATTGGGAGGGCATTGAAACATAACCCCAGCCCAATCGTCTGCAAATTCTTTACGAAAGGCACTGGTCTGCCGGAGAACCCGGTCAAAAACGAGAAACATGGAAAAATTGTGTCTGCGTAGTTAAGCTTCTTGTCTTGATAAGAGGCATGGTCGAATATGGGTGAGCTCGAGAACTCGGTGTGGTTCATCTCGAGAATGGTGAGTCCTCTGATGACATCTCTTGAAATATCTCTTGACATCATGGAACTGTTGACCGTGAAAGCAAATGCAAAGAAAGAGATCGATTTGTAAGTTATAAAGACAGGAAGTAGTCTAGCATGCTACTAGAGAAACATGCAAGCGACTGGGTTAGATCCCCCGTTTCCGCTCTGTCGGAAATGCGCGTATGGAAAGAAAAGGACCCACCTCCACTTTGCGCAGACAATTGCAATTATTCACTATCCCAAACGAAGTACCACTCGGGGTTTCTCGCCTGATGAAAGTGAGAACGTTCAGGGGTTGCGAAACTTTATCACATGGTTGTATGATAGCTGTATGCGTCTGTTTCTTTTTGGTCTGATCCTGATAACGATAAGAAATCGGAGCCTCCGGCTTTTTTGAGCGAGTTGTTAACGAATCATCCCGCCCTGTCATAGTAAACGTGATAAGTCTTCTTCATCTTGAATAGATGCAACCTAAAAGTACCGATTGACACAAATATGTATGCTGCAACCGCTGGGTTGGCATTGGGGTTACAACAGTTCAATTGATTGGTCTGTCATTTTCAGACAGTATCACTAAACCAATCTACCTTCCTTTTAATCACTTTAAGTCGCGAACGGGAACAAGAAACTCCCATTGCATAATATGTGCCCTTTCCTGACCACACGATCCTTTGCTGAAGTCATGAAGATCAAGCCATTCCAATTATGCCAACAACGTAGACTCGTTTTTAACTAAAATGCATCCACATCTTCACGGATTGGGTTCGCTGGACTCGGTCAAATTTTATTCCGAGAATTATCATCTGCCCACCTGTCTTCTTACCTTCATTTTCCACACCATCTGATTCTGGATTATGGGGTATGCACCCGCAAGTTTTATGGCAGATGCAAAAAAGTGAATGGTCGTGTTCGAAGTGAAAAATTTTGTGCTCTCGTCGAGGACTCGGAAAAAAAAAAGAATGAACTAAGTGAAGAAAGTTACTGTCTTTTACAAAATATACCAATCTTTGCACAATGAAGTACGTCAAATCCGATGAAACCCTGGAGATCCCAGCCGGTGTTACTGTTAACATCAAGGCCAGAGAAGTTACTGTCACTGGCCCAAGAGGTCAACTGTCCAAGAACTTGAGACACATTGACGTTACCTTCTCGAAGGTCTCTGACTCTTTGATCAAGATCACTGTCCACAACGGTGACAGAAAGCACGTTGCTACCTTGAGAACCGTCAAGTCTTTGATCGCCAACTTGATCAAGGGTGTTACCCTCGGTTTCAAGTACAAGATGAGATTCGTCTACGCCCATTTCCCAATCAACGTCAACATCATCAGCGAGGACTCTAAGACCTACGTCGAGATCAGAAACTTTTTGGGTGAGAAGAGAGTTAGAAAGGTCCTTGTTCAGGAAGGTACCACCGCTGAGCTCTCTGCCAACCAGAAGGATGAGCTTACCGTCTACGGTAACTCTTTGGAAAACGTTTCCCAGACCTGTGCCGATGTTCAGCAGATCTGCCGTGTCAGAAACAAGGATATCAGAAAGTTCTTGGACGGTATCTACGTGTCTGAGAAGGGTACCATCGAGGAGCCAGCCGAATAAGTTGTTAGAATGAACCAGGAAGACTCGTCATAATATAGCTCATAGAGAGAACGGCTTGTATAAGTTATTCTGCTTACTAAAAGTTTTACAGATTTGTATCTTTCCAATGATTTAGTAGCCTGCATCTTGCCGTCAAACATACGGCACATTTCATAGGGCTATCTTTTTGAAAGCAGGATAATGGTAGTGTGACTATCAAGTGTTCTTCACTGACCTTGTCACTTAGAGAGCTTCAGATTACTGGCACCTCTATAATGACTAGTGGAGAAATCAAAAATTGAACTATTCTATCTGATTTTTGCCTGATTCAGTCACATTTAAGAAAATGTCTGGAAAAGAGGAAAAGGTCAATTCTTTTGGTAGGCGGACGTGGGACAAGGAGGAGTATGCCAGACTAGCTAGGGAAAGGGTAGAGGAGATACGAAACAAGAGAAATGGGAAAAATACGGAACCAAAAAAGACAAAAGCTCATGATTTTTTCAAGCAGAGAATGGAGGATTTGAAGAAAATCGATTCTATGAACAAGATCTCTCTGGTTGCAGACAGCGTGACTGGTGGATGGTTTGCGTGTGAAGTGTGCCGCAGAAAGTACAAAGATAATCTGGCTTACATTGAGCATTTGAACTCGAATGAACATTTGCAGAACTCAGGATTTGATGCTAGAGATCAACAAGAGGTTACTTTGGAGCAGGTGAAAGACAGACTAGAGACATTGAAGAGGATCAAAGACGAAGAGCGGCTCAAAGACGACACTCAGTACGATATACGAAGGCGCATAGAGATCAAACGTAAGCGCGACGAAGAGGAGGCATTAAGAAAGAAGCAGAGAACGGAGAAAAAACGGAAAAAGGTGGCGGAAAAAACCGAGCCTAACGAAACGACCAATGACCCAATGATGACAATGATGGGATTCTCGAGCTTCAAATGAGTTTACCCAATAATGACGAACTTTTCGAGTAGAATAAATTTTGTATATACAGGGTGGAAAGAAACTATAGCTGATCAGCTTTGATGACCTTGTCGACGGTTTGGAAGTAATCGATAACGTCATCTTTTGAGTCATCATCAAGAACTAACAGCTTTGTACATGTAGCGATATCCGTCTCGAACTTGATAGCTTCCTTAATGTTGTTTGGATAATTTAGCAGCACGAAGACCTTCGAGTCTTTTTTAGTTTCGAGCTCACGTTTCACCAACTGAGTGAAGATTCCATGCGCCAAAGTGTAGTTGAATTTGTACTCACATCCTGGTGCTTCTGGTTCCTCTGACTCAAATGACTGTCTCAACAGTGTACCATACTTCGAGTTGGGGTCTTCCAACTGAGCCTTGATGAGTTTGTTCAAGTCAACAACTACCGGCTCAGAACCTTCTGCACTGACTTTGGCAATCACATCCTGAACGCCTTTAAGGTTTTTCCCTTGTGGAACCAGATAGAAGTCACCCTCCTCGAACATCTTGGTCCTCTGCTGAGTTTTCAAATAGGCGTCCCACTCTTCTTCCGAAAATGAGTTTTTCCTCTTTGCCAATGAGCTTGAAGAATCCTGTTCGTCTATTCTCTTCACCACCAGACCGAATATCATGGTTCCTACCAATCCAACTGCTAGAAAGTGACGGAACTGGGGTCCTTTGTCGTTAGCTGCGAAACCAGCATAAGTCCTTTTCTGCCATTGTTTGGAGGCAATATTGGTCGTTGACCTCAAGGCAGGACTTGTAATCCTTCTCACGCAGTGGCCCAAAGAAAGCATTTTGAGTTAGCCAGTCTATTGCTTTGATACCTGTGTCTGGTAATCGAGATCTTTCCACTCTTCAAAAGTGGGCTCGTCGTGTATTTCCCAAAGTTGTTTTATTCAATACACACTGCTAACGTCTGTTACGCGTTTCGCTAACTGATAAGTTTGACTCGATCCAAATCTCTACTGGATCTGAATTATTTAGAAAAACGATTTTGCAAGATATGGATAGTTCAAGAAAATCAAGGAGGTACACGCTGGAGAATCTCATGGCCCATGGCTTGAATTCCAATTCGGATACTTCTCTGGACCACAAAATTGAAGCACGAGAGAGAGACTTTGACTACGTGAAGGAGATCAAAAACCAGACGGCTGAAATTGCAGATAGAATGCGGAAACTGGCCATGAGACTTGAAGACGTCACTGATGACTCAGAGACCGTGAAGATGGTGCTCAGCAACATGCAGGAGGTGATGAAGGGACTGAGCATGGCGGCCCTGCCTTTGGCCAATCTTGGCGGTCTTGAACCTGTAGAAGATTCCAACGTTTTGCCTCAAAGGGTCATAAGGGTAAGGGTGGATAATGATGTTGATGATGAGGATGCCCAAGGACAGGCTATCCCTTTGGAAACTTCACAGATCTCAGAGGAAGGATACAGTATTTGAGGGAGATATGATGCTCAGACCTCACCAATCATCATCCGATGACATGTTCTGAGACTGAAATTTGATACTCAGATTATTGTATTATCCAGTATGAACATGAGATACTGGAGGGGTGAAGGTAGGTACTGAGGATCGGAGCTGGAAGACATCGATACAGGGCCATCGTGATAGGTGATAGGTCATTCTACAAGATACGATTTTGATACTTGGAGAAAGACGAAGATACTGTGTGTAACTGGGCCTTTACACTGTATGATCACTTGTCAGTTCCCATTGCCCAATATACGTTGGCCCTGTCAGTTCTGTGGGGAACCAGTGAGCTAGCAAGTGTCTTGAGCGATGCCTCATTTGCCCCCTCAAATCAAACGCCAGGACATACTTGTCCAAAAACCAGGTTTATGAAACCCTAATTCGCAGCTTTTTTATTATAAACTCGCAATTTCACTATCAATCGAATACGGTTAAAGAATAACAATATTTTCCATTTCTTCCCATACTACTATCTTTCTCCTGCGCACTACCAGCAGTCTGCGATGGCTTTACAGAATGAAGCTTGCCACATTTACATCCGTATTTGTCATTCTTCTCTGCATTGGACTTGTCTTTAGGCTTGTTCTGATCATAATAGTAACAACTGAATATGTCACGGCGTCAAGGTATGTTTAATTGGTTAAGCTTGGTATAGTGTATTATTCTAACAGTTTCTTCCAGGCCCTAACTACGCTGAGCTAGAAGCTGGAAACTACGAGGACGAGTTCGTTTCGTCCGGAGACTCCAGTGTCACTGATTATTCAGATTATGAAGCCGAGAAGAAAAAGTCCCGTGCAAAAGGCAAAAAGGCCAAGCAGGCAGTGAGGAAGATCAAGAAACAGAAGGACGATAAGGAGTTTAGTGAAGACGAGTTGATAACCATAAATTTGGACAGGCCTCCAGATTTCGTTCCTGATACCGTATCAAATCTTTTCGGACGAGCGGATTTCACATATCTGAAGCTGAAGCCAGATCATGCATCCAGACCCATTTGGATCTCTCCTACGGATGGAAAGATCATCCTAGAAAGTTTCTCGCCTCTCTCAGAACAGGCCCAGGATTTCCTGGTAACGATTGCCGAGCCAATCAGCAGACCTAGTTTCATCCACGAATACCGTATCACCACTCATTCGTTGTATGCTGCTGTTTCTGTTGGTTTGGAAACAGATGATATAATCTCTGTGTTGAACAGGCTTTCGAAAGTTCCAGTGGCTCCTTCCGTGGTGAACTTTATCAAGAGCGCCACCCTGTCTTACGGTAAAGTCAAGCTTGTTTTAAAGCACAACAGATACTTTGTGGAGAGTTCACAGGCTGAGATCTTGCAGATGTTGCTAAAGGATGAAGTTATTGGTGCTCTGCGTATCCAATCGGAAACCACAACCACTACGAGTGATGGTCTGGTTCAGACAAAAGCGCCATCTCAAGGTGACTTGGTCATTCCAGGAACAAAGAAACCCGATGGAACGTATGTAAATGCGGAACCAGCAAAAACTGATGATGTTGAGGATATCTTTGCCAATGTCATTGGCGAAGGAGATGATGATGACGACGACCTCGACACAGTCCATTCCTTCGAGATCTCCGCTGGATCTGTCGAGACCGTGAAAAAACGGTGCCAGGAAATTGACTATCCAATGCTGGAGGAGTATGACTTCAGAAATGATACCCGGAACCCAAACTTGGACATCGACTTGAAACCATCCACGCAGATCCGTCCGTACCAGGAGAAATCTTTGAGTAAGATGTTTGGAAACGGACGTGCTAGATCAGGCATTATCGTACTTCCCTGTGGTGCAGGTAAGACGCTGGTAGGAATCACAGCGGCATGTACCATCAGGAAGTCTGTGATTGTTTTGTGTACGTCTTCTGTGTCAGTGATGCAATGGAGACAGCAGTTCTTACAATGGTGTACAATTCAACCCGAGAACGTTGCTGTATTCACATCAGAGAGCAAAGAGATGTTTTCAGGTGATGCTGGTCTCGTGGTATCTACCTATTCCATGGTGGCTAACACAAGAAACAGATCCCACGATGCGCAAAAGGTGATGGATTTTCTCACTTCCCGAGAATGGGGTTTCATCATTTTAGATGAGGTTCATGTTGTACCTGCTGCGATGTTCAGAAGGGTTGTGACTACAATTGCTGCACACGCAAAGCTCGGTTTAACTGCTACCCTTGTTCGTGAAGATGAAAAAATTTCGGATCTGAACTTCTTGATTGGACCCAAATTGTACGAAGCAAATTGGATGGAACTGGCACAGAAGGGACATATCGCCAATGTACAGTGTGCAGAGGTATGGTGCCCAATGACTTCTGAGTTCTATCAGGAATATCTCCGTGAGAAGTCTAGAAAGAGGATGTTGCTGTATATAATGAACCCCACAAAGTTCCAGGCGTGCCAGTTTTTGATCCATTATCACGAAAACAGAGGAGACAAGATTATCGTCTTTTCCGACAATGTTTATGCTTTGCAAGAGTACGCCTTGAAGCTAGGTAAACCATTCATTTACGGTTCTACACCTCAGCAGGAGAGAATGAACATTTTGCAGAACTTCCAATACAATGACCAGGTGAACACAATTTTCCTCTCCAAAGTTGGTGACACGTCTATTGATCTCCCTGAAGCTACCTGTTTGATCCAGATTTCGTCCCACTACGGCTCGAGACGTCAAGAAGCACAGAGACTTGGTCGGATTCTGCGTGCAAAAAGAAGAAACGATGAAGGTTTCAACGCTTTCTTCTATTCGTTAGTCTCGAAAGATACCCAGGAGATGTACTATTCCACAAAGAGACAGGCTTTTCTGGTGGATCAGGGTTATGCTTTCAAGGTTATCACCCATCTCCACGGAATGGAGAATCTGCCCAACTTGGCATATTCTACCTCCAAAGAAAGGCGAGAGCTTCTTCAGGAAATTTTGCTGAAGAACGAAGATGCCGCAGGCATAGAGTATGGCGAAGACTCAGAGAATCTGGTCGGGGGAGGTGTTGATAAGCGGGCAAGATTCAATGCCTCAAGGACTGTTGGATCGCTTGCAAGTTTGGCAGGTGGTGAGGATATGGCCTACGTTGAGCACAGTAAGAATAGGAACAAAGAGTTGCACCATCCTTTCTTCCAAAAGACATTGTATAATAAGAAGAAGAAGTGAAAGGAGTGCAAATCCTCATTTTACAGTCCAATATATTGAAGAGTTGTCATGGCTATAACTCATGAGGGAGCATACTGTACTTGTCCTTTTATTTCAGTAAATTTTCATTACGATGCGATTATTTTATTCATCAGAGTCCCAACATCCTCTCCTGCTGATCAATCACAGATGAGATCTCATTAAGGGCATTAAAGAGAGATGATTGGATGGATCTATCCAGTGAGTTTGCGTACTCAACAAAAGTGTCTGCGATTATCCAGTCTTCCTTGAACTCTTCGGCCAAGTCCTTGATGAAACCATCGTAATGTTTCACGATCTTAGCCTTCATCTCGGCAATTTCCTGCACGAGGCTCTTCGTCTGCGAAATTAGACTTCTTGTCTCGTTCTTGATGGAGTTCGTTCTGGTAGCCAACTCGTTCGATTCCCTTGTCTTCTTATCTCTGTCTTCTTTCAGTCTAGCCTCTTCCGTCTTTATCTGTATTTCCAACTGCTCGATGTCCTTTCTGTTGGTCTGGATTTGCTCCTGCAGAAGCGACACCTCGCCATTCACGTTGTCGAGAGTCTGCGATTTATTGAAGACAGTCTCTTCCAGTTCAAGTCTAAGTTCGTTGAGTCTTCCAGAGAACTCAGCATACTGGAAGTTGGGCAAAATTGGGACCTGTTCCTCGTAAGATTCAGGGCAATCCAGTAACTGCAAGGAGGCATATCTAGCCGAATCCGCAGGATTGCACTCCTCTAAAATTGCCCGCAATCTGTCAGAATAGCTTTTAACACTCGATTGGAAATAGCCAAAACTCGTCTTTACGGACTCAAGTTTTTCTTCGATAACGGTCTCTAGACTCCGACATTCAGCCTTCATTCCCGAAACCTTTGACTCCAGGGAGTTGACAGACGTAGACAACTTTTTTATCTCCGCTTCAGAGGTTCCCTTAGATTCCAATTCGAAAGTCAACTGTCTGCTGACGGTTTTCAGGTTTTCAATTTCGTCGTTGATCTGCTGTAATGCAGGCGACTTCTTGGAGATAATAGCCTTGGACCTTTCGATTGCGGAGTTGACAGCAACGATGAACTCTTCGATCCTCTCCAGATCGGAGTCCAGAACATCATTTCGGTTTTGGTAATCCTCTATCTCGCTCGCAATTTTGGCAAGATCAACAACCTCGTGGTTGATACTGTCCACTTTGTATGTCAGTTTGTCTATCGCTCCCTGGATGCTGTCGAAACTGCGATCCACTAATTCAAACGACTCCAGCCCATTGTTGTCCAGCGAGTGTAGGGCAGCACTTGTGATTATGTACGAAATGTGGAGGTTGGTCGCTGTTTCAGTAACAGGAGGGTTATCTTCGATGGCCCTGATCAACTTCTCTTCGTCGAACCCATTGAAGGTGATTTCAGGCAAAGAAGGGAATTCAGCCGCAGTAGAAACGAGCCAATGGAGTATTGACATCACTATTGGCCATTTCGTGGGCCCAACTGCAGATAATTGTGTACGCGAAGGGATCTCATATGGATACTCAAACACCTTCAGAAACTGGTAGATGTCGTTCTCAATCGAATCGGAGAACCTGATGTTGGGATCTATCTCGAGAAACAGAAATCTGAACATGAACAAAATGTCCTTTTGCGTTGGTTTAAGCAAAGTTTCAGGCCTCAGTGGATGGATCTGCTCAAATCCGTTATTCTGGAGATATGCAAAGATATCATTGCGCATTTTCTCCTGGTATTGATGAGACCGTATGGGGCGAGGGTCATCGGGTATAGCCATGGAAAGACGCTTGTTGATTGTCTCATTTCCAGAAAGCTTTCTCTTGTGAGACTGAGCCGAGCTTTCAACAAAAGGCAACGACTTGCGCGATTTGACAGAGCTGAGAGTGGCCTGGCTAGAGTTCAATAGTCTGGCCCCAGAGGGTGCCAATGAAGTCCTCTTTAGCAACGAGGACCGCCTCTTGTCGAACCTTGGCGGCAAATTATTTGCATCTAGCTGTTTCAGAGGGTAATCCCCCGACATTCTTCTGTTGGAATTCATCAGAAAAGGACCAGAAAATAATACAAGAAGTCTTAGTTCTTGTTGTAGTACATGTCTATGCGTGTATGTCTTAGAGGTGTTGCGTGAATGTAAACAATACACGTTCTGGGAAATGTTATGGTCTGAAATTTACGCTGAGACGGGCCTCGATTGGAGGCTTGAGTTAAAGACTGGTCACCACTACAGTTCAAAAGTTGACCTGTAAAAAACTGCAGGTAACACTAGCTAAACAGGAAAACATAGGTGTAGACTTGTGCCCAACAACCTTGTAGCTCCATCTAGACCTTTCCTGTGTGAAACAAGGTGCTGTGGTTAGACTGAAATGAAATCCCCATGTTATCGTCCTTTCTGCCATCCACCACCGGCATCGTTTCAGAAGGGGTCACGTGACAAGGAGGCTTGTTTTGTTTCCTACTGATTGCAGAATGGCAAGACCAAAGGTCGGTCATCAACAATAAACATGCGAACAGCTTGGTACGAAGAAAACGATGATAACTGCCGAAGATTTTCAAAGCGAAAATAGCGAACCACAGATCAAAAGACATGTGTCTTCCTACAATAGCGCGTTTTAGCGAGTAGTGTTTCAACCGCTTCGGGATAAATTTAGATGAGGGCCCATCATTTCGGAAGTCATCAAAACAACCGAGGTACTACCGTGGCGAAGCCGAAAATGACATCAGCGGCTTCTGAGGTATACGCGCGCGCACTACCTCTTCTTCTTTTCCGTTTTAAGTAATTTTCTTTCTAGTTCGGGTACTACAATCACGGTTGACCGATGCAAGGACTACGACTATCACGAGACTAAGTTTAGACATAATGGAAAAAAGTAAAGATTTGAAGCAGTCACCAACCATTATCCAAAATCAATAGACATATCCTGCCAACCTGACTACAATCCCACCACCAACATCACGGAATCAGGCTGCCCCCCCACTAATTTTGCGTGCTCCCACCAATTCCCCAATGAACGGCTCAGCCTTAGCAGTTTCTTTTTCAGGTGGAACTTGGCTGTGCCCAGTGCTGCTCCCCCTCCCCCCCTGGGCCAGTTTTCATCACTAGTCAAGTCTGATTTTTTCTTCTCTTAATATCTTACCACTCCTTGCGCCTTTCGCTCACTCTCATTTTCTGTTTATTTCGTGGTTTAGAGATCTGGCATCTCATTATTCTGATCTTGCCTTGCTTCTGATCCAGTTTTCTTTCGAAATTGTGAACTGCCTTGCTCTTGTTTGTTTACCTCTACACTATCAACAACAGACCGACCTCCACCGGCTGCAACGAGATACAACTCGCTCCAAAAGTTCTAGAATTACCTGAAAATCCCCCAGAACCTCCTACCTTCCTCCTTCATTCTTGCAAGATTATTTTCTCATGAGACAAGAGGTTGGCTATATTTTGCTGGGCCATGCGTTGGTGGTGCTCTTCCTAGTGTACCAGACGTTTGACCTTATCACTTTGCTTTACGATGACACGTTCCAGGACTCGATAACACAGCTTGAGATTGACAATCCGGGCCCAGCTTTGATTCCAAAGATAATACATCAGACCTACAAGACCTCTGATATTCCAGAAATCTGGAAAGAGGGCCAGCAGAGGTGTATTGATTTGCATCCTGACTACCAGTACATACTCTGGACCGACGAGATGGCGCACAACTTCATTGCAGAGAACTACCCTTGGTTCCTGTCCACTTACGATGGTTATAAATATCCAATTGAGCGTGCAGACGCCATCAGATACTTTGTGCTGAACCACTTTGGTGGAATCTACATTGACCTAGATGACGGCTGTGCACGTCGTCTGGACCCATTGCTGCAATATTCAGCTTTCGTCAGGAAGACAGTTCCTACAGGAGTTTCCAACGATGTGATGGGCTCTGTTCCAAGACACCCCTTCTTCCTGAAGGTGATCCAGTCTCTTGAGTCGTACGACCACAACTGGCTGGTTCCCTACATCACTATCATGTACTCCACCGGTCCATTGTTTCTCTCGGTATTGTGGAAACGGTACAAGAGATGGGGTGTTCCAGACTCTTTCAAGATCAAGATCATCATGCCTGAAGAGTACAAGAAGGGTGCAGATGCATTTTTCACGATTGCGCCGGGCTCCTCCTGGCACATGGATGATGCAAAGTTCTTGATGACCCTCGCACGTCACTTAACCTTGGCTGTGATAGGCGGATGTCTCATTGCAGCTTTGCTGTTGTATCTGGAGTACTTGTTCTACTGCCTGGTTATCAGTTCTGCCTTCAAGAAGATGCTGAACTTCATCCTGAAGACTATTACCTTTGGAAAGATGGGCCAGCAACAGTACACTCCAATACAGACCCAGGAAAGAGGCAACATCGAGGAGTCTTACCCTCGTCGTCTGATGAAGACGAGAAACAGAAAGGACTCCAACCTCCCAGTGGTCGTTGACCTGGAGAAGCAGGAAACTGTTTGATCCGGATGAAACCATGAGTTTTCATTTTCCTCACTATTTGCATATATCTCACGATATCAACACACAAAAACTCACGCTCTCAATAGAAGGGCCCATTTTTCGTTCTCCATGATGCATAGGCATATAGCATTGGAGAGCCATACAAAACAACCACAAAAACACTCCACCCACACTCATTCTTCAAATTTTACACTTACAATGGAGTTTAACGCGCCTAGGCCTTTTTTATTTACTTCGATCTTGTCTTAATGTCCCCATATTACTACATTTCATTCATCTATCCGGTTCTGTAGAATTAAGTTTTCGCGGTGGTTTTTTCCAACCCCACAAGTTATCTATAAGACACTGTGATTCTCCAATTGAAATTCTCGAAGCTTGCATAAACATCCGCAATTCGACAGCTCAAAAAAGCGCTCTATGCAGGACCACTCTCTGAACGGCTGAAACTCGAACATCTATCGTCTTCACCTTCACTTCAGATGAGCAGTCGCATTCCGATACAGAGTCTGCCATATGTAGGCCTCGCTCAATAACATCTCCACATCGGTCTCGTCCCAATTTTCAGTCTTGGACGTGTCTTGCAAATACATGATCATCTCTTGGAACTCCATCTCCTTGAGCTCCTCCGAGAACTTCATCAGAAACGCACAGCATACATACACGTGAAACTCGTTAAAGCCTTTTGGAAACTCAGAGATATAAGTATCCCACATCCTGACAATCAGGTCCATCTTGAGCTCTCGCATCAACATACAGTTCATCCACCGAAACGAGAACTGGAGAAACTCCAGATTCTGCTCCTTGATATGGGTATACAGTTTCTCATCGATCCGCAGAGTTAAGTTCGCAAGACTCTCTACCTGTCTCATGATTCCAGGCTGCTCGTGGATGTAGTTGTCTTGGATAGTGTCCAAGATCTTGGTCAAACACCAAAATGTGTCTGCTTCAACGTGGTTCAGGATCTCCACATCCAGTTTGTCGGGGTCGAGATTAGCAACATTTGCCTGTGCAACCAAGTATGACTGCAGAAAGACTTGCAATATCGGAGTGGCTAGATCGTTGATACCCTGGACGTATCCAGAGGCCGGATGGCGAATAGCCCACACATACAGCAGTCTCTCGAGAAGTCGCTGGATGACAGGATAAGAGTACAGCTTTATCGAGGGGTTTGTCCTGGGCACGTCTATGATAATCTGGTGCCAAATAATCTGGTCCTTTGATTTGTTGAAGATTTGCTCTATTGTGTCGTTGTACTCCTTCCGCTTTCTCTGCAAGACTGATTGTCTTCTGGACGGATTAGACGGAATGTATCCCAACAAAAGCTGCCACACAAGTCCACGGAGTTCTGTGGGCAATCCCTTCCACGACTGTTTCTTCAGTTCGTTGAGATCGAGCGACTCCGAGTCCGCATTCAGCAGTTCCGTCAGCTTGTGGTGTTTGTAGTCCTGTAGGTCCAGCCCATTCAGGATCACAAATGGGTCTTCCAATATGTCTTTGTAATTCTCTCTGATCAGAGAAACCGGCCGGGCCGGCGCTGTGGAAGGCTGTTGAAATTCTGGCTTCACATACTCCAAATCCGGATACAGTTTCCCCAGAGACTTCGTCTCCTTGCCGAGAAATTCCTCTTCTATTCCGTCATCCCAGTCATCATCGTCGTCAAACACGCTCAGTCTCTTGAGGGCCTTGGAAGTCTTGAGCCTCGGCGAAAGTGAGCCTACCGAGCCAATGGAGGTGCGTTCTGGCGAGATGGACGTTCTGCTCCTTGATCCGGAGGGCCTATCAAAATGCGAGTACGACGCACCAATGATCTTGTCTGATTGCGAATGCGATGAATTGTTCAAATTCTTAAAGAAAAACGGTAGCGATCTCTGATTGGGCGGGTACGAACTCTCCTCGGTGCTGAACACGTAATCGTTCACTTGGGACATTTCCTATGATATTAAGGTCAGTAGCTGAACACGCAGATGGCGATCGCGCCCAGTCGCGGAATTCCCTTCAAAATTTCACTCACAGTCAGCGGCTGCTGGTATCCCTTTCTTCTCCCCATTTTGAGTGTTCTAGCTGGCTCAAAGTTGCAAGGAACAGGCCTCTTTATTGGTCGTTTGGCTATACTTGCCTGACCTGCCAGACCAGCCAGTGCATCGTTCCTCAGCCAAAGATGGGGCATCGGAAAGGTGGCTGGTGCACTCTTATTTGCTTGTGCACTACTCTATTGCGGCGAGTGCGATGGCCTCCTGCAGAGTCAGGATAATTTAGGCAGATTTATTGAGATACGTGACGGGGGATAGGAAAAAACGAGGGCACCAGAACTCCTGCTTGGCTTGTGATTCTTCTCCTTCCGTTCAGTCATTTGGTCTCATTCTGTTCCATTTTTACTTTAGTTCAACCTACCAATGTCTGCGGAACGTGCCGGTAAGACCATCCTGGCCTCCAGGATAGCCAAGAAGTATACGGATGAGCTCGTTGAGACCACCTCCAAAATGGTCGATTCTCCACCAAAACTAGTGGGTCTACTTGGAAACGACGATCCAGCAGCTGTGACCTATGCAAGTTTCACTGGCAAGACTTGCAGATCGCTTGGTTTCGAGTACGAGTTGAGACAGTGCTCCAAAGAGGCTTTGGAAGAGGAAATCTACAAGGCCAACGAAGACGATTCCGTTCACGGAATTCTGGTATACTTCCCAGTGTTTGGAGATCGTCAGGATCAGTATCTGCAGCAGTGTGTGAGTCTGGAGAAAGATGTTGAAGGACTCAACTTCAAGTACATCTCCAACATGTACCACAATATCCGGTTTCTGGACGAGGCGAAATTGCACAAATCGCTTTTGCCATGCACACCACTTGCTATTGTTAAGATCCTGGAGTATCTGGCCGTATACAATCCGCTGTTGAACTACGGAGACAGACTCTACGGAAAAACCGTGACCGTTGTGAATAGGTCTGAGATTGTGGGAAGGCCGTTGGCGGCTTTATTGGCGAACGACGGTGCCACGGTATACTCTGTTGATATCAACAATATCCAGAGGTTTGAAAGGGGTGATGGTTTGCATCTCAAAAAGCACACTGCCGTGGAAGACCCTATCACTCTGGAGGCCGCTGCCAAACAGTCTGACGTCATAATAACGGGTGTTCCTTCGGCAGCATACAAGTTTCCGACTGAGTTCATTAAACGTGGTGCTGTTTGTATCAATTTTTCCAGCGAGAAGAATTTCAACGACGACGTCAAGGACCATGCAAGTCTGTATGTGCCTTCTATCGGTAAGGTGACAATCGCCATGCTGCTGAGAAACCTGTTAAGGTTAATGAGTGACAATGCGAAAAGCGAGTCTACTCATACTAAAAACTAGACAATTTCATCATTTTTTATTCACGTTTATAAGTTAATAAGATAGACATCTCAACCCAATTTTTCATCTGCAATCAGCTTGTGCGGCTTGAGAACTGACAGTCGTGTGCTACCAAAGCTCTATCTCAAAATCCAAGATAGTTCGTCTGTTACAACAAGACTTTAGAAACCCAGTACTTCACAAATGAGCTCGAATAGCTCAAAGCGCAAAGTTGTTGCGCTGGGTTTGTTTGAGGATGAAGAGGACTTGATTGCTGCAAAAATTGAGCCCAAGCCTGTTGTTTTCAAGAAGATAAAGAAGGAAACGGCAGCTCAGCTAAAACAAGAGTATGATGACGAACACGATGTCAAAGTCAAGAAAGAGAGCATGACTTCTGTTAAGCGAGAGCAATCTGAGCCTGAGGGTATTCAGTTTATTCCGCAGGTTAAGAAGGAGTCGAAGTTGTCACAACTGGCTAAACGGGAGAAGCTGGAGATGGAGAGTGAAAAGCTCATTGACCAGACACCAATATCAGATATAGAAGATGATATCCAGGTGGATAGGGACTGGTATAATGCCGATGAGCTCGGACATGGTTTTGACGATCCCTATCCCTTTGGGGGAGACTTTGAACAAGACGAACAACGAGAGGCTCAACTGAAGACGCAGGAAAGAAAGAGACAATCCACCAGGTCGATACGAAACAAAGAGGCCGAGACGAAGTGGTTCCAGAATAGGATTCAGGCCAGTGGAATTAAAGGTCAGCATAGAAGCGAGGTTGACCTGTTTGTCGATGATGAAGATGAAGAGGCTTTGGGAGCCAAGATCATGACGCATCGTCTGGTTCCTCCGTTTTTGAAGGACTCAGTGATATTGACGAAGCAGAAAGAGAACGTCGACCCCATTAGAGACCCTACTGGTGATCTTGCAACTTCAGCTAGGAAAGGATCGGAATTGGTCAACGAGAGAAGACACCAACGTGAAAGGGAAAAGCAGGCCAAAGAGGCTGTGAACGCTTCCGGGACGACTCTGGATAGCATAACCACCAAGACACTGGATCAGGAGGCGTCTCGCAAACCGCATGAGTCATCACACGGTGAGACCGAACTGGAATCAGAACCAACTTTGGAGGACATAAAAGCGCAAAGAAAAACTCTGCCTGCATACCAAGTACGCGATGAAGTGTTGAAGGTTATTGGCGAAAACCAAGTCACCATCGTCATCGGTGAAACTGGTTCAGGAAAAACAACACAACTGACCCAGTTTCTTTATGAATCAGGATACCAAACAACAGGAATGATTGGATGTACGCAACCAAGAAGGGTTGCTGCCATGAGTGTTGCCAAGAGGGTGAGCGAGGAAATGGGTGTTCGGTTAGGAGACGCTGTGGGATTTACGATTAGATTTGAGGATAAAACATCCTCTAAGACCAAGATCAAGTACATGACCGATGGCATTCTGCTTCGTGAGTTTTTGATAGATCCTGATCTGGATAAGTACTCCTGTATCATCATGGATGAGGCACACGAAAGGTCTCTAAACACGGACATTCTGTTGGGGTTGTTTAAGTCCATATTGACTAGAAGGAGGGATCTGAAGTTGATAGTCACCTCTGCTACTATGAATGCAGATAGGTTCTCTAGGTTTTTTGGAGGGGCTCCCCAGTTCACAATTCCAGGCCGTACTTTCCCAGTCGAAACGTACTATTCAATGGCACCTTCATCAGATTACGTGGATGCTGCCGTGAGACAGGTTCTAAGGATTCACACACGCAATGACCCTGGTGATATACTCGTCTTCATGACTGGTCAGGAGGACATTGAGGCGACATGCGACGAGATCGAGTTCAGACTGAAAAAACTTGGTGAAGAAAATGTGACACCTCTTCAAATTTTACCAATTTACTCTTCATTGCCAGCAGATTTGCAAGCCAAAATCTTCCAAAAGTCACCCGTCAGAAAGTGCATCGTTGCTACCAATATTGCAGAGACATCACTCACTGTTGATGGTGTTATGTTTGTGATCGATACGGGATTGTCGAAACTGAAGGTGTTCAATTCAAAACTTGGAATGGACACTTTGCAAATCACTCCTATTTCAATGGCTCAGGCAAATCAGAGATCGGGAAGAGCTGGAAGAACCGGTCCGGGTATCGCTTATAGACTTTTTACGGAATCTTCTGCCCGAAATGAGATGTACGTTCAGCCAATCCCGGAGATTCAAAGGTCCAACCTAGCCAATACGTTGTTGCTGTTGAAGTCTTTAAACGTGAAAGATTTGCTGAAGTTCCCTTTCCTCGACTCGCCTCCCGAAGACATTGTGAACTCTTCGCTGTACGATTTATGGGCAATTGGGGCTCTGGACAACTTTGGAAATCTGACCAAGCTTGGTGCCAAAATGTGCAACTTTCCAATGGAGCCGAGTCTTTCGAAGCTTCTGATAATGTCGTCACAATACGGATGCTCCAAAGAGATAGTCATCATCGTGTCCATGCTATCTGTTCCCAATGTCTTCTACAGACCCAGAGAGAGACAACAGCAGTCTGACCAGGCGAGGGAGCGATTTTTTGTACCCGAAAGTGACCATCTCACTATGCTCAATGTTTATGAGCAGTGGATTGCAAATAAGAGCTCTGAAAAATGGTGCCAGAAACACTATTTGCATCACAAATCTCTGCGAAGGGCCCGTGATATTAAGTCGCAACTGGAAGCTATTATGGAGAGGCAGGACTTGGTAATGACTTCAAGTGGAACGGACTGGGACATTATTAGGAAATGCATATGTTCGTGTTTCTATCCTAATGCCTCCAAAGTGAAATCTTACGGTGAGTATGTTGGCCTAAGAAGTGGGTTTCCGATGAGCTTACATCCAACTTCTGCTCTCTACGGGCTTGGTGACCAGCCCACGTATGTGGTATACCACGAACTCATAATGACAGGCAAGGAATACATGAATATCGTTTCTAGTGTGGATCCTGATTGGTTGTGTGAGTTTGGGCCTATGTTCTACAGCTTCAGAGATGAAAGAGTCACCAGTCGCGAAAATCAAAGAAACAAAGAGCTGGCCTTCGAAAGACACATTGAAGAACAGAAACGGCATCTACTACCGGACGAGAAGATGACGAGAAAGGACGATAAGAAAAAGGCTGAGACAGATCTACAGAAACTGAAGAATAGGAGGAAGCGTATAGGATTTTAGGCTGCGTGTACATTAGCGGATATAAAGCGAATATATTTACAAAAGGAGCCGCAATTTTGGCAATTTTGGAGTCATTTTGAAATCATTTTGAAAACACTGCAACCGTGGTCATAGGATTGTGATAAGTCAACACTCATTTCAACACCACGTTATCTATCAACCTGGTTTCTGAACCACCAGCATTTGGAACGTAGATTGCTATTGAAAGAACTGCACCGACACCAGGAACAACCTCATTCAATTGCTCGAGGGTTTGAGGGTGGTTCACAGAGATATAATCAAGCCTGTAGGCAGCCAGATCTCCATTGGTATATGGTAACAGCTTGTCCAGCACTATCTGGCGAATTTCGGAGGCGTCCCTGGTTTTTTGTTCATAATATGCAATCTCGGCTTTCTGTAATGACTGTGAGATCACAGCTGAATCGTTTTTGACATCATTGGCGAGATATGAGTTTCTAGAACTTAGGGCTAGACCGGACTGTTCACGAACGGTAGGAACAACAACTATCTCGGTGTTGATCAACAGATCTTGAACGAGTCTCTTTACAACAACGGTCTGCTGAATGTCCTTCTGGCCAAAATATGCGCTCGTTGGCGAACACACGTTCAGCAACTTAGTGACGACAGTGGCAACCCCACGGAAGAACTGGGGACGAGTGGCTCCTTCCAGTTTGTCACCTAGACCTTGTACCGAGACGAAAGCGCCCACCTGTTTGGACACATCAAGCGGGATGCCATTTGGATACATTTCAGAGACCTTTGGGGCAAAAACGGCAGCTACTTTTTTCCAATCGTGGGCTTGTTCAGACCTAGACTCCAAAGAGTCCAGGATCTCCAGATCTGAGTCGAAAGTTCTGGGGTAAACGTCGAAATCCTCGGTGGGAGCAAACTGAGATGGGTTGACGAATATTGAAACAATCGTAGCATCATCTCTCTCCAAAGATTTTTGGACTGAAAAAATATGTTAGTCAAAATGCCTTATGTCCGAGAAAGGTCACGATGTGCTTACCAAGTGAACAATGGCCGGCGTGGAGAGCCCCCATGGTGGGCACTAAGCCTACAGTCTTTTGCTGGAGCGCTAAAGCAAGCCTCCAGCTCCTCACTTCTTGTATCGTGCGAAAAACCTGTATCGAAGTACCCGTCATGGCTGTGAGTGAGGTGTTAGAGTACTGGAAAAAAGGTCTCGAGAGCTCTAAACGACGCAGACGTTAAATAAAAAAATCGATGACTTGACCGAAAGTGGAAATTGTGTGGCGGACACCTTGTTTTATGTGCCAAACACGACCTTTATGTTTTGGGGGAGACACTATCTTTCTCTCTTCCCAAAGACTTCCAATTTTTCAAGGACGATGGTCGAAAGCTTGTTTCCGATATTTACCGCCATACAACCATGATGCACAGGGTCCAGGTGACAAAACAGAGTGTTAAGTCTGTTCAGAGGAGGCTTAACTCCACGGAGGTGATGCCACCTAAGCTGGCCACCACCCCAAACAAGTACAACTCCAAGTCCTCGGCGTTCAACCTGAAGCCCAACTTGCCAAAGGGTCTCCACTACCACCCCGCGCCCTCTTTGAGAAGTCCGCTCGTCACACCCATTCCGTTCTTGCCCGATTCGGATCCGAGAAAGTCAAGTGCTGTTTACAGAGAAACCCTCAAGGTGGAGGCCGTTGAACACATGCCAGTGATCCACCAGCTGGGACAGGAGAAGTACCATCTATCCGAAGACGATATCAGACAGATGCAGCAGCTGAGAAACGAGGGCTGGACAAGAAAACAGCTTACCGAAAAGTTCAAGTGTTCGTCATATTTTGTGGGGATTGCAACGACGAAGAACGAGATAAAGGCCAAGGAGTTTCAGGAGCAGCTATCCAATGTGAAATCCCAGTGGAGCGAGAAAAATCTGTTGAGACATATGAATAAGCAGAAACAGGTTGAGTTGTGGAAGAGGAACGGTTGATTGGGAGAAGGGACGTAACACAGTACAGAGCTCTATTCATGTATATATATAAGCAAATTAACAAACAAACACTAATGCAGATGTAGAAGGAAAGGGACTGAAAAGTAACAAGCGAGCGAAACCGTATGAGGAGAACACCATGACAAAACATGAAGTGCGACGTGACAGCTGTGATGAAGATAGTTGAGGTATTGTAACGTTGAAATGCGGATATAGGAGTGCCATAGCCTAAAGGCTCAACTGCTCACAAAGTCTCCGAAATCATCATCACTCTCACTATCATCACTCGACTTGGCACTCTCGTTGATCAAGAATTTTTCTTTGAACATCTTCAACTTGGCCTTGCTATTCTTGAACTCCTGTATCGTGTGGCTCAACGATATCTCGTCCCAGAACTGTTTCATGATAATCCCAACCGCGATCTTGTAACCTTTCCAATAAAGCGTTACCACAAAGGACCTGCCTCCAACTTTCTCAACGGTGTGGAATTGCGTATCTGTTATCGTCCGGACATTCGGCAGAGGTTCGTAGAATGTATGTGCCCACACTTCTCCGTCGTTACCCAGAATCTCAAGCGTACAACGCAGTTGCTCGTCGACATCTTCCTGGCCAGTGGTTTCAGAAAAATCTTGAAGCTGTTCAATCTCGAGAAGCCGTATTTTCCCCACAAATATGAGATCCTCGGGATCTTTTATCCAATCGCTAACCTCGTATCGCTGTCTGATCACCGGCTCTCCCTCTTCTCTGATAACGTGCGGAGGCCGAATTTTATACACGCTGACATGAGACAACTGGCACAGCTCAGTGACCTGTTCCGTGGGACTATCCATTGACCCAATCGCCCCAACGCGTGATAATCTGACTGCAAAATATATAACGCGGACCAGTCGCGAATAGATACAACATCCACACGCAGAGTCCCAATTCGTCGAAGGCATGCCGTTTGGGGGAAATAATTGTGTGCTGCACTACGTTGAATGTATTCTGGGAAACCAAGTTTTCTTCCATGTTTGTACGGAAAGGACAAGGTTTGGACATCATCACAGGGCCTATACACACAACCAACGGAGTCTGGTGCAATCTTGTTGGATATACTGGTGTGCGGTTACGGAGTCTAGGCTGTATTCGATATGTCCATTACAAGTGACGAGTTGAACTACCTCATCTGGAGGTATCTCCAAGAGGGTGGACTAGAAGTGTCTGCTTTTGCGCTTGAAGATGAGACCAAAGTGAACAGTTTGGAGCAAAAGTTTGGCAAGAGGATACCGCTTGGGTGTCTTGTTGATTTGGTACAAAAGGGGATACTTTACTCGAAAGTGAACGATATGGTGAACGACGAGAACGGACAGTTGAACGACATCGAGACATACGTAAACAGCTTCAACTTGTTTGAGGCTTTGGACGAGGAGAAGAAGACAAACCCACAGCTAATGTCCAGTGGTGCGGTGGCAGCTATAGCAGCCGCCGAGAACGGCCATCCGTCGCCGGTTTCGGAGAAGGACGAAGAGACATTCATCACCGTGCTGAAGGAGCTCTTCAAGTTTCCGGCCTCTGTGGCATGTGACTGGAATCCAGTGGCTCCCACGGTTCTTGCATGGGGTCAGCTGGACTCTACGGCGAAAATTTGCGCTCTGGGTGCCGATGGAAGCGGGAACGAGCTCATAGATTTAGTCCACCCTTCTGTGGACAAGGAGATCACCAGTGTGATGTGGAACCCAACGGGGAGTTCCTTGGTCACGTGTATGGAGAATGGAGAAATGAGAGTGTGGTCGGCTGACGGCAAGCTGCGAAACATTTTGAACTTGCACACATCGCCGATTCTGACGGTGCGGTGGAATAAGAACGGCTCTTTCGTGCTCAGTTCAGACGTGGATAACAAGACGATAGTCTGGGATGTGGAATCGGGTAGGCCTCTTCAGTTTCTGGAAAACTCGGCCACTTTCAACGATATGTCTCCTGCTCCTGCGACGATTTCGTCTTCCCCAGTTGCGGCTCCAATATCTGCAATCAGCATGGCCCCTTCTGCCTCCACAGAGTCGCAGCAGAAGCCGCTTTGTTTGGGGATTGACGCATTTTGGTTGGACAACACGAAGTTCGTGATACCGGGCAAATCCGGCTCCATTGTCATATACACACTCGGAGAAAAGATCCCAATAGGCATGCTGGAGGGTCACACGGATATCGTATCTTGCATCTCCTACGACCGCGACCTACATCTACTTGCTTCTGGATCTGACGACAATACCATAAGGATATGGAAGGGAAACTCATACAACAGCTCGCAGATCCTAATAGGACATTCTCAGCCCATCAGCAGCGTGGCTTGGCTTCAGTGCGGTGATCTTCCTCCAATGGTTGTTTCCACCAGTCTTGATGGTTCCATCAAGATATGGAACGTGATCACCGGGGAAGTGCTGCTATCGTCGATATCGGAAAATGGGCTCCCAATTCTGGAAGGCCAGCTCTCTCCAGACTCTTCGATGTTCGTGCTCGCAGATACAGAGGGAAACGTTCAGCTCTTTGACATATCACCCTCGCGTTTTATCCACCTTATTAAAACCGGTCAGAAGATCATCAAGCCCAAAGCTGCCTACCAGGTTTTCACAGACGAAAAAATATACATCAGCCAGTTAAGTTGGAATTGCGATTCCACCAAAATCAGCGTTTGCGTTGCGGGATCCGCCAGTTCGGTCATCTCCGTATGAATCACGCATTGTACCATTATGTTATATTAATTTTCTTGCTCCGTTTGTACATTTACCCGAGACGAATTAGCTGTTGCACGTTGTGGACATGCTGAAAGGTTTCACGCTACAGTTTCTTGGTCATAAAAGGTCTTTTTAAATAGTATAGTTCATCCTGATTTTTATCCTGGTTCAGGCAGCCTTGCCGTTATTGTACTTTTTCCTCTTCTCGAGAGCATACTTGATACTCTTTCCCAAGCCAGCCGTCACCACACCCTTCAAGCTCTGAGCCAAAGCTGGTCCGTAGATCGTATCCTTGAGCACCTGGACCAAGACGGTCTTGAGATCTTCGTCTTTGGCAATGGCAGCAGCAAAGCCTCCCTTCACCTTAACAGCGTTCGAAGTGTACTCCCAATCCTTAGTTGGAAGCTGGTTCAAATCAGCAAAACTCCTCACTTTCTGGAGATCGATAAACGACAGATCCAGCTTTGGTTCTGACGTCTCTGGAGATGTCAAAGACACTTTTCCGAGTACTTCCTGAGCCACAATGTCGTTTGCCAGGTCATTTCCATACTTTTCTGCGTATTTTGCGTACAGTCTTCTGCGGAAAGCCTTTGGCAGGTCGACAATGAGCGAGGCCTTGGACTCGTCACACACGTCGACTTTAAACTTATAGATGATAGGGGTATTGAATCTGTCAAATCCTTGCGATTTGTCACAGTTCACCATCTGAATCATCGAAGGGAAATAGTTCTCTAGCAATGGCAAATACATCCATCTGAACTTGGTGAACTGGTTTTCCACTATGTTTTCGATCTTGTGAGGATTCTCGCCCTTCATCTGCACTCTCGGGTCTCCAATATACGACAATCCCGTAATCATTTTGTAGAGCTCGAACTCATCCACGGTGTTCTCGGTAGAGTGCCTTTCCGAAAGCAGCAAAAGAGACAACTTGATCGCATTTGTGAGATTGAACTGGTTCAACAGCTGGACATTTGGCGAGTTTCTGATTATCGCAACTGGCTTGTGAAGCCTTCCACTGAGATACAAAGTGTCCCAGTTTATCAGATCAGAGATAAGCCTATCAATAGAAGTGACTCCATATTTCATCATCTGACTCTTTGCAGGCGTTTCTGACGTCAGAGTCTTGGCTCTTTTGAAGTCGAGAGTCACGTACGGGTTGAAGTACACACCAGCACCCCATTCCTGAACCGTCGAAATCGCGTGTGCTCCGAGTCTTCTGATGCCAGAGTAATGATTGGGAAACTGCTGCATGTTCAGAGAGTGCCAGTGATCTGGATAACTCACTGCAAAGTTCATATCGATCATTGAGTCAGCGGAAGAAGCACCAGAACCTTGGCCAAACACCTTGGAACCGTATCCAAAAGCAAACCTCACAGGTGCCTGGAATTCCCATAGTATCATTTTAAGATATTTCTCCATCTCTGGGTCATTCTTCACAAGCTGATTTTCTCCAAATTTGTATGGTAACTGGCTTTGAGTCTTGAGGTCGGCGAGATTCCTCAGATAGTAGTTGAAATTAACCGGCGAGTTCGACTTGAATTTTGACAGATTTTCATCAATAACAGCAAACCGGTCCTTCTCTTCTTGATCTTGCTTGTGAATCCTTTCAAACGCTGGAAAGCGACGTGGCTTGTGGCCTCTGAACAGTTGGTCCAACAGCACTGGGTCAATCTCTTTCGGCGCAGTACGAGACCCGGCTGGGCCGGACTCAGACCGCACGCTTCCGGGGGTCGAGCTTTCGAGTCTGGCCAGCAGCTTCACATTAATTCTCCTCTGAGCACAAGCCCTTTTAGTAGTTGAGGAAAGCATGCTTGGTGGGGGCAATAAAGACAAGTGGAGTAACAAGAAGAATGTATGGGGAAGTCAAGTTAGCTCGGGCGAAAAGGGTCGTGCGCGTGTCTCAAAATACAGCGGTCCGTTAGTCAGCTGGTAAGAATCTCCGCTCTGGAAGAAGGGGAATTGATAAATAGGAGCAGCAATTTCGGATATCTAGATCTTGATGTTTGAGCGGAATTAGCCCTTCAGGAAGAACAAAGGGAAGGAAAAAAAAGTGGCAATCTGCCCCGCCAACGGTCTCGCCCAAAAGCGGCGGAGTTAACCACCATCTCCTTCGGTGTGCGCGGTCCAAATACTAATTTGATTATAGCACGCCTGAGCGAGCCCAGCGGCTCAATGAAAAAAAATCTATGTGTGAGTCTGAACAACCACACCAGGCTCTAACTCCAGTCCATATCGCTTGGGCTATTTGTTTATTGGCTGGATTTCGTTGCTTGTTGCCTTCCTGAAACGTTTGTTGAATTTGTATGTTTTAGGCGCCTCACAGCAAGTTTTATACTCATCCACGCTGCTCCGACATCTTCACATACCGCGGTTGAGTGCCGCAAACGCCAACTTCCAACCTTTGCGGATGTTTTCACTCACGACGGTTCAGCATCCGACCAGAGACTGTACCAAGCCACAGGTCATGCTGCTGGATCCTCTGAGTGGTAAACGGGTTATCTTTGGTGCGATCCCCGAGGGCTCTCAGCGAGTGAGCTCTGAAAGGTCAACAAGACTTTCAAAGCTGACAAAGGTATTTTTGACAGGAACAATATCCTGGAAGTCACTATCTGGCTTGCCCGGAATGATCCTGACGGTTGCTGACCAAGGCTGCAAACAGTTGGACGTTTATCATGGCGATTCCAAAGTGCTCCATCTGGCCTTTGCTACATGGAGATACTTTGTGTTCAGATTTGGACTGAAAATTCAGCTCAATGACGGCTCTTCAAATGACAAGTCGGCCTTTTTCAAGTTTAGGACTGTCAATGTGACGAAGCCAGAGACTTTGGAGTCTGGGATTTCGGTATTCGATTTTAAGTTTCTGAAGGGCTTGGTGAGTAAGATCTTTCCATTAGCAGGAGAGTCCAATCAGACCGCCGATGACGCTGCGGTTAAACAGGAATTGCCAAAAGCTTCCAGGTCAAATGTGTCCTCGAACTATATCGTGAAAATGAACTCTTTGAAGAGAAAGTACGTTCCAGAGCTGGTAAAGAAGTACGGTCTGAAAAAGGAAGACTTCCAGAGTCTGGCTGCTGGAAGGCCAGCAATATTGCAAGATGGAACCGAGATTACGCTTGAGTCTGTAACTATGCCTGGAAGAACTTTTGATAATGTTTTGTTCCTGGATATTCCTGAACCTGATCTGGTAGGACCAACCATGAATGTCAATTGGTTCGAAGAGGCCAGTGGTTTGTGCGATTCCGAGCAGCGTGTGAAATTTCAATTGGTGTACCATTTCATTGACATAAATGCTATGCAAGATCCGTTGCAAGATTCTGAGTATGTCAAGTTCATACAATCTTTTGGGCCTCATTGCAAGCATGTCATCTCTCACCCAAAGTACTGCATGGATACGTTGAACTTTGAGTCTGCTTCAGTCATTACACTGAAGCTGCGGAGTCTCGATGCAAGATCAGCACCTCTCCCACTGTTTGATTCTTGCTGTAATTCCATTTCAATGGAGAATATATACCCTCTCACTAGCGGTCAGACTTTCAAGATCCTCCCATTTGGAGAGACGGAGATGGAAAAGATTTGGGAGTTGCGGAGCGAAAAAGGCGAGGAATATTGGGAAAAACTATATGATGATTATGTGGAACCTTTTGAGGGCAAGCTGGAGTCCAGAGAAGCGGTTTTGGGTCTGGAAGAACACCAACGGGAACCTAATTCTTCGCTCAAGGATAGTGTGGAGATCACAGTTTTGGGAACGGGAAGCGCATTACCTAATAAGTACAGAAACGTGATTTCCACAATGTTGAGACTACCAATACTCGGGGGCTCTACCAGAGTGATCCTTGACGCTGGTGAAAATACCTTGGGTACTCTGTGTAGGATGTACTCCCCCGAAAAACTCACCTCCGTCTTTCGCGAACTGAAGGTCGTCTATCTGAGTCATCTACATGCCGATCATTTGCTGGGGATATACTCAATTATCCAGGAATGGTGCAAAGTACAAGCCAAAACTGGTGGAAACGAGGAGCTATTGGTCATCTGTCCAGATAGGTTCCAGAACTTTGTAAGGGAGTGGAACCAGATCGAGCCTGAGCATATCGATCTTGACAGAGTCAACTTTGTGGATTGTGCTTCTTTGTTGATGAACAGAGAACTTGATCAGCAGACAGCAGCCTTAGTGAACCGGTTTGGAATAGAGAGGGCAAAAACGTGTCTCGCCAACCATTGCGATCGCGCCTACTGTGCCGTCATTGATTTCAGGTTGGAAGGTCAAAGCGGTGAATCTGATAGTTTCAAAGTTTCCTATTCGGGAGATACCAGACCTCTCGAGAAATTCATTGCACTTGGCAAAGGATCCAATCTGCTGATCCATGAGGCAACACTCCAGGATTCACTATACCTGGATGCTATCAAAAAAAAGCATTCCACCATATCAGAATCACTCCAGGTGGCCAGACTCATGGAGTGTGAAAAAGTCGTTCTGACTCATTTCTCGCAACGGTATTCAAAGCTACCAGAGCTGGAAACTGTGGATAAAGATCCCACCAGCGATGTCGCCCTCAAAGAATCAAAGTTGTGTCAGGTGCATGCCACTGCGGACCCTGTGGTGTTTTTTGCATTTGACAATATGAACGTCACTTTCGGGAATTTGGCTTCGCAAATGAAGACCTTTAAACGTCTTGGGTTCAACAAGATTGGCCAATTCTTCGATAATGATGATGAAGAGCCCAACAAAAGGCAAAAGGTCTAGTCAGTCATGACCTATCCATGGCAAATCTTTTATCCTTGCCTTGACACAATATGGACACATCATGTGATAGCATCTGTGACAATCGTTTCGCAAGCTTATGGAGCTGAAATCCTGCATTTTGAAGTCTCCGTACGACATGCCACATTGACAACAGTACCACTGTATTATCTTATTCGAATTCATACTATTGGGAGTGTTTTTTCCTGGGGCTGTGTTCAGCATGATGTACCGGGAATATAATCTGTATATATTAGCAAAATTATTGTCACACCCTTTTGTTGGAGTTTAGATGGTTCAAATAGTGCCATCTTTTCCGATAGCCAGTCTAAAAAAAGAAAACCCGGAGTTAGTGTCGACGGCGTCAAAATTTACGACATTGTGAATATTTTGATGGCCAGTTGCGAATTTCGAGACCTTTTTGGACACTTTAAGCCTTTTGCGCAATAAAATAAAAGATAAGTATGGCGGTTAACAGACGCATAAGCGGAAAGCAACGTGAATAATCCATAGGCAGTGGTGCAGGGAATGAGGTGTGGCTAGAGAGCACGTTTATAGGGACGAAATTAAGACTACCAAACTCTTCTGGTGAACTTAGAGCATCAAAATTGATCATATGCTAGTGTTGTTGTACAGAAAACGGACAGATAAGCCAGAGGATAAGCCAGGAGATAAGGAAAAGCAATTAAACATGCATGACCAAATAGTTGACAGAAACTAGCAACAACTTTCCAGAATTGCTTTCCATTCTCATACTCCGACGAAGAAGCATAAAAAGAGAATGTGAAGATACTTTCCACTGTCAAAAACACAAAAAAACCGGCAATGAGTTTGTGTGACGTGAGAAGCTTAGATCTGTGGATATACAAGTTGAACAGGTACAGAGACAGACTGGCCACATACCCAATGGCCAGGAAGCCATTAAAATTCAACCTGGGTATCCTTGAAGCAGGTAAATTTTCAAAGGAATTCTGGAAGTTTACCTCAACATTGAATTTGTTTGCCTGTCTTCCCCAGTCTTGCGGAGAAGCACACGCCACGCAGTAGTAGCCTGTTTTGATAATCTTGTACCGCGAGCCATTATTACCATAACTGCTAAGAGTGGTGGACAAAATCCCGGTCTTCTGAGTGACTTCCTTGTTGACAATGAAGAGATACAAATCGCTGGTTTCCCATAACCCTTTGGAAACAAGCTCTTCCGTGCATATATACTGTGTAGGCAGATCGGATACGCCCACTCCCAACGCATCCATTTCTCTGTACTCATATATGACAATAGAGACAGGGGTATACTTATTACCTTCCCCCAATTGGAAAGTCTTCAAATCCACTCCTATAAAAGGTTTAGTTTCCCCATCCCAGTCTTCCTTATTATACATGGCTGTGCAAAACTGAGGCAAATCATTCGTCACAGCTGCTTTTTCTGCAAGGACGCATGATTCCCCCCAGTACACAACACCATTAATAGCAATCGGTGAAACTTCACGTAACGGTTATTTTCCATATTAGGATGCGGAGTTGATAATCAGTAAGGGATTATTATGGACAATAGGCATGTAAATAGTCATCTCTGGATACAGATTGGTCTGCACACGCAATAATAAGAAAAACTCGGGGTGACAGTAAAAATAGCAACAAACCTCCAGCATTGCATTTATCACAACAGTAATTCTAGCCAATAGGTGCTTGTTTAAGAAAGTCAGGAGGGGGATGGGGGATTTTGGGCAGATTACGCACCCAAACAAAGATTTATTCGAGTGGCTTCGGAGCCTTTATCATTGCCGATACTGAGCCGCACTCATGGTTTGCGGGGGGGTGCTCTCAGGAACACGAGGGAAGGTATCAATGCGTCGGATTTTGAATCTCTGTTACTGAACCATTTGTCGGATTTCATTCTGAAGCGTGATCTCTGATCGTGTTTTATTCAAACTCTATTCCAAGGTTTGAAAGCTTTTTAATGTGAGTCAGAGCGCTTTTAGTCACGTGATTGTTCCCGTGCCCGTAACCAAGAGAAAGCCTTTGCCTCTTGTACAGCTCTTCCACAGCGTTACACTTGTCGATGATCAAGCTGTTGGTGTTCAAGTCTTAGAAATGCCGTATGATGATGATGGTGAGTATGAAAGCCTCCCAAATTCTAGTCCCTTTCAATTTTGACTTACTAATATCTCAGACTATGTCGACTACGAAAACGAAGATTATGATGACAGCGAGTTCGTGGAGGACAACCTCAACGACGAAGACTATGCCCTGTTGTACGAAACCCTTCCCGTGTTGAAAGACCAACTTGGGGATTATAACTCAGACATCCAGGATGAAGATCTCAAAGCTGTACTTTATTACAATTACTTCGAGGTTGATAATGCACTGGCCGAAATCAGGTCCAAGTTCAAGAGGAAAAGAGGTAAGTTTGACTCAGTTTTTTCACGTCTATTTGATTTCTCGTTTGATTCACCTGGAATTTGTGTTGATTGAATATTCTGTCTTGATTAACGTTCTTGGTGCTAAGACTCATCAGAAACTACTCCTCCTCCTCCTCCAGCTACGAGCGATAAGAAACTGTCCAAGCTGCAAATTCTGGCAAGGCAGAGGACTCAGAAGAATGCCGTTTCCACAAGTTCAATAACAAGTTCGATCACAAGTTCCACAGAAGCTACAAAAAGAAGCTTTGGTTTAGAAGGAGTGCTCAAAAGAGGGTCAGCTTCTGGTGCTTCTGGTGCTACTGGTATTGGCTCTGCTACAAAACTATCTAGTTTGACGTCTGGTTCTACGCGATCTGGCTTGGCGAGCTTACGAGGTAAGTCTAGCAGGAGCTCAAAGCTGGACTTTTTAATAGCATCCAGGAAGCATGTGGTTCATACGTCATCGAAACCTGGATCGTTAACTGATTCTGAGGCTGTATCCACAGCTGTGCCTGTGCCTGTGTCTGTGTCTGTGCAACTAAGCAAGCTTGCTCAGAAGTCTGACCATTCCCAAGATGTAAAGCTTCCCGAGTTGGAGGTGAATTCTGAGACGTATTTCAGAATTACATCAATTGCGAAGACATTTCTCACCAAAATAATGATTAATGACAACTTGGGCTCGAAGAGAAGGAAACTTGAAGAATCATCTAGCATTTTCAATGTTTTCCCAGAGACTAATTACGAGATAGCGGAGAAAGCAAAGTCAAACTTTAGCAAACCCAGTCCGGATGATATTGTATTGAAGGCACAAGAGACCAACTCCCAAGAGATTGCAGTTGGAGTGAAAGCACTTAAATTGGATAGCAAGAAACCAGCAGTCACGAAACCTAAGAAGAAAATCGATGTGTCCAAGGAGTTAGGCGTTAAACTTTCGAAGCCTAGTCTTTCTTTCGGAGTGATTGGCCATGTGGATTCCGGAAAGTCGACGCTGGCAGGAAGGTTACTGTATGACTTGAAGATAGTTGACTCAAAAACGCTCCACAAGTTGACAAAAGAGAGCGAGTCCATTGGAAAAGCATCGTTTGCACTTGCCTGGATCATGGACCAGACCAAAGATGAACGAGAGAGAGGTGTGACAGTGGATATATGCCAGACCCAATTCAAGACTGAGAAGTCTCTCTTCACAATGATCGACTGTCCTGGTCACAAAAGCTTTATTCCCCAGATGATAAACGGTATTTCACAGGCTGATTTGACCCTGTTGATTGTGGACGCTGGAAAGAACGCTTTCGAGAGTTCTTTTGGTTTAAGCGGTCAGACCAGGGAGCAGATCACAATTGCTAGAAACCTAGGATTGGACAGGTTGGTTGTTGCAGTTAACAAGATGGATACAGCAGACTGGCAGCAGGACCGGTTTGAACAGATTGTGGACGAGCTTACCCAGTTCTTGGTGGACGATCTGGCTTTCGCCAAAGAGAAAATCAGATTCGTGCCGATTTCTGGTCTCAGCGGAGGCAACGTTGTTGCAAAGCAGAAGCTTTCCTGGTACAGTAAGGGAACTTTGATGGAAGTTCTTGAAGCCGAGGCAGAATTGAAGCATTCCGAGGACTCTGCTGACAGATTCAACGATGAGTTCATCATGTCCATCAATGACATAGAAACCAGCTCCGATGATGTGTTGATCTCAGGAAGAGTCAACTCTGGCAAGATTCAACCAGGAGAATCGATAGCAGTATCTCCATCAGGTGATGTGGGTGTTGTGGACAAAATTTTCGCCAATATTGAATCTCCAGGTGCTCCTAAAGCAAAGCAGGACAGAGATCTGGTGATTGTCGGGGAGTTCGTCACTCTGAAAGTGAAGAATCTTTCATTGCCAGACAATGTGAAAGTGGGAGACCTTGTGTCCAGGTCCAACTCTCCAATACAGGCAAGTATGAAGATCAAGTGCAAGATCACAACCTTCAAGATGAATCTTCCCCTGTTACTTGGATCGCAGTTCATTCTGTTCAGAAACAACATATCTGTTCCTGCCACTTTATCCAATATTGAAGGAAGGAAGAAGAAGCATTTGGGCTCCAACCAAGATGCTTTGGTGGAGATAGATTTGGTGGAAAGGCCGATTCCAGTTCTAACCTATGCCCAGGATTCAAAGCTTGGTAGAGTGGTTTTGAGAAAAAACGGAGAAACCATTGGGGCGGGAACGGTTGAGGAGGTTTTATAGAATATCTGCGTTTGATTGAGACGGTTCTATAACTCAGTATATAATCAATTAATAGTGGTGTTATTCCCACCGATGTGGTGATCGATATGACTGAGGCGATCTCATAATAGAATTAAACATTCATATCATCAGCTCATAGTATATAATCAATTGATAACAGTATTATCCCCATTATCACGATGATCCAGCACATCCTTCTGGCGTTTTTGTCGTTTCTTTCCCTTGCCTTAATAAGCTGTTTGTTCCCCATAGACACATCCTGAAGCATGTCATCTTGATGGTCCAACAGTTGGTTCACCTGTTCTGTCTGGTTTTGCAGTTGAATCCCGATCTCGCGAACTAGGGTGGTTATATCATACACAGATGTCTCCAACTTGGCAACTTTGCTCAATTCCTCGGATTTGAGGTTCATAATCAATTCTGTATTCTCCTGCTGCAATAACTGAATCTGCTGGTCCGACAGAGACTCTTTGATTTCATCGTGATGTTCCAGTTCCACACTGGGAATCTCCTCGGACAGCTGCTGCTGTGGTTCGTCATAGCTCATCGAGGTTGTGTTCAAAGAGCTCTTGTTGTACTCCATTTGCCTATTCTGTCTCTTCTCTTTCAATTCCAAGAAGCTGGTTGATATGCTGGCGAGGTTGAGAGAAAGGTACCGCAGAATTCTATTTCTGTACAGGTTCACCGTCTCCACCTTGAGCTCCTCGGCCGTTTGCAGGTCTCCATTGAAGAGCATTTTAGTCAGCATCTTGGCACTCGGCACAGCCCTTCGTTTCTGCTCCAATTCCACTCTTTTGGCCTCGTATGTCTCAATGTGTTGCAAAGACTTTGACATCTTGTTCAACTCCAGACCTATCTGCGAATCGATTTCGTCTCTTTGCGAAGCTGTCAGTCCCTTTTCACTCGAGAAATTCAACAAGTAGGCCGTTTTGATCTCATCAACAAAGTTTTTGACCGAGACCATGGCATGGTTCAACGCCAATGCCTCTTTTATGAAAGAGTCTTGAGGTGACGATGCTGTTGTCGTGGACTTCTCATGGTCGGGCAAGATCTTTCGGCTTTTGAAGTCTTCCTGGTATATGGTGATGCATTTGAAGAAGAATGGAGTCAAGTCGGTCATTTTTGTAACGAAGATCCTCCAATTTTCGTGCGTGTCCGAGATGTCCAGCTGTTCAGGTTATTTTAAGTAAGACCAGCCAGGACAGATCTGAGCAAGTCGTGTTTATCAATATTAGTCGTGTCCTGCATAATTTGGTAATAATGATGGTCGTGTGTGATCGAATAGTTTGCTAGTAAACCGTAGGAGCGGCCTCAAGAACAGCCCTTGTCACCTATAGAACTAAGTCATTGAACAAACCCAATTCCAGTGCGATCTCGGAGCCATTCACATCAATCATGGAAGAAGATATATCTGGATCCCACTGGGGTGATGCGATCTCGGCGAACCCCACGTCCAGCGTGCTATTCAGTGCTAACGATAACCCCTATGCCAACGATGTGAACGTGTTCGCAGATGACCTACAACATAATGCATTTCAGAGCGAGGAGGACGAAAATGACGAAAACAATGGCCAGACTATGGAAGAAGTGGATTTTTCTGCTGGGGGGCGAGGTTCCGGGGTGATCTACGAAGAATTGGGCCAGACCCTAAGAGATGTACATGTGGCTGATGAGGATACGGACGAAGGAGAAGTTGAAAATGGTTTGGAGATGGTTGGCCCTTCAGAAGAGGAGATTGCTGAGATAAAGGCGAAAAAGAGCGAATTGCTTTCGTCTTTGGCTGGAGGTGCTGATGATCAAGTGGCCAACCCCTTCAAGGAACCCACGCCAGAATTAAAATCTTCAGATGGTTTGTTCATGGATTCCAGTCTCACCAGATCGCCATTAGCAAACGTCTTGAAGGACCAGAATAAAGAGCCTGAGGGACCGCCAGCGCCCATAATCACATCGCCGAACAGGAAAACAAGAGTCTTCAAGAGCCATAGACCTAGGAGGACCAAGAAAAAGGAAACTGTGGAGGATGCTCCATCAGGGCCTGTCGATCCTCTGGCACAATCAACTGCATCAGGAACTCAGGATTCTCCCCAGCAGCTGGAATCCGTGCCAGATGTCCTGAAGTCTGTTGACGAACCATTGTACGATGTCCACAGAACGGGCGGATCTCCCTCTAAAACTACAGTCACTGCTGTGACGCCGATAAGAAGGAAAAGTCCTTCTACTGACAGATTTGATATCAGTGTTGGCGATCCGATAAAGGTTGGAGAGCTGACGACAGCTCATATAGAGTACACAATCAAGACCAAGACGAAGTCCCCTCTGCTGAAGAACGAGGAAACAGAGGTGAACAGAAGATACCGTGATTTCAGGTGGTTGTATCACCAACTTGTGAACAACCATCCTGGTTACATTATTCCACCTCCTCCTGAGAAACAGGTTTATGGTAGGTTCGAGGAGAAGTTCATCGAAAGCAGGAGAATTGCACTGGAGAAGATGCTGACGAAAATATCTCAGGTGGATGAACTGCAAAAGGACTATGACTTTGTGATCTTTCTATCTAGCGAAAGATTCTCGGTAGAGTCAAAAGAACGCGAAAACTTGTTTTTCCACGGGAGTTCCTCACAAAAGTCAACCACGTCTGTTGATGATGATTCAGGCAAGTTCATCGACTACAGTACTGCCTCCTTGTCTGCCGCGAATACGAGTGCCAGTGGTGGCTTCATGAGTGCGATCACAGGTGCCTTTTCATTGTCTTCGCCCAAATACATTGAAACTGATCCGTTCTTCATCGATAAACCTGCCTACATTGAGAATTTGGACCACCAGTTGAGATCTTTGGCCAAGACCTTGGAATTGATAGTGACGCAGAGAGAAGAGACGATAGCCTCACTTGACGAGTTTCTAACGACCATCCAAGCTTTCATTGATCTGGAGATCAACAACGAACTGGCCAACATCTTCACGAACTTTGAGGATCTGAACATCAAGATTAAAGAGCTTTTGGAGAGGACCAACATGCAGGAAATGCTCACTTTGGGTTCCACCATTGACGAATATTCCAGGGTAATAGGATCCATCAGGATCGTTTTCGAAACCAGGTTCAAGATTTGCAACAACATCTTGAATGTGCAATCGCAGCTGAGCAAAAAGCAGAAGAATCTCGGCAAGTTCAAGGCCAAATTTCATAACCAATTTGACAAGATTGACAAGTACGAAAGCGAGATACAATCTTTGGAAACACAGTTCGCCAAACAGACCGAGCAAAGAAATGAAATCAGCGCCACGATAAAAGACCATTTGGCGCTGTTTGAAGAGGAGAAAATAGATGATTTCAGATCAATGGTTGAGATTTATTGGGAAGGGTTATGTGAGACCCAAAAGGTGCTGATAGAGTTATGGGAAAGTTTCTACGAGAAATGCAACTTTGGAGCTGAGCCTTGATAGCAATTGGGCAAAGTGTGTATTTAACTGGACGAGATAATAGTTCCTCCCCTAATCATCTCCTTCTCATAACTTATGACCCTTCCCCTTTGTGGTAGCTACACCTTCACTAAAACGCAGTAATGATTCATCTCTTTCCCCTATAAAATTACAACTTTCTCTTCTTCGCTTCGGCGTGTTCCTCGTCAATCTCGTCATCGCTAACTTCCACCTCATTCTGGTCATATCTGGCCTTCAAACCCTTCATCTTACGTGTCTGCAGCTTGGACAAGTCCTGTTGGCCAACGTGAATACGAGCAACCTTGTCACCCATGAAATCAGTCTCCACGTTCTTCTTCTCCTTGGGTTGAAGTTGCTTAGGAACCAAGTGAGCATCCTTTTCGGCCTCAGGACTGGGCGATACATGTCTGCCCACCTTGAAGTCGAGTCTTGGTCCAATCTCCTCGAGTTCGACTCTTGGCAGCTTAGGCTCTGGGGATTTCAAAGTTTTCAATTTGTAAACTCTGAAATGAACAATAGGCAACTTGGACAGCGAGTTATCAACATCATCAAGCTCTCCGGCACTCACAGCAATTATGTGCTGTAAACTCTTGACATCAAGCATGGATGTCACCTCTCCTCTGAAGAAGTCGAGGAACAGAGACTTCAACTGCATGTATACCGGATGAGAATCGAAAACTGGCCCATTGAAAACGAACATGGGTTTCATACCAACATCGAAAGTGCGCTTCTTGAAATCCTGTAGCAGTTTGTAGTTGCTCAGAATGGAAAGCTCAACCATGTCATACAGCTGGTAGTTGAAGGTTCTGGAGAATGTGAGAGTGTTGGGTCTTTTCTTATTGTGCGATGAAAACACCAGCAAAGAGGCATCGTTCTTCTCGCTGAAGAACTCAAGCTTCGAAGGATCCTCAAAAGGAAGGATGTCGTTCTTTTTGTCAAATCTCTTGATGTCTGGCTTCTTCAGGGCACTCAAATCTATCATTGCATCGTGCGTAATCTTGTTTCCAGTCTTACCGGTAATGAAGAGAGCGGTTTTGACGTTCTCGACAATCCTTGACTCCTTCTTGTCAAGAGCTCTCTTAGAACGATTGTTCTTGGGTTTTATAGTTCTAATCATCTTCCTGTATGTGTAGAGCGTTCAAAGTCGAAATATGTAAGCCTCTTCGAAAATTTCTTAGAACTGATAAAAAAATATTTTTAGGTCGTGTAGACCCAATAGTCTTTCTGGTTGCGTGCCCTGTGTAGGTATTCAAATTTGGCAGTGCTCATCGAGAGAGAACTGAGTGAGATGTACACATTCACAGAGCACCAAAAAATCACCAAAAGAGCACTCCATAAGCAGCTTATGTCCTCTATTTTCAGTGCGAAAAAGCTCAAGGCAAGTGCTAATGGCACCTCCAACGCGTCTTTCTCAAGTGGAGACCAGGGTAAGGCGACTCAATCGATACCTTCTCAGTCCTCAACTGAGCTCACCAGATCAACAAGATACAAGGTCTCAAGACTGATTGCGGCGCCCCAGGCTCTCAGAGTGAACGATGGGTCTTTGAAGGATGCCTTGGTGGATTCCAGTTCTGGTTATGCCCTTGTAGTCTCGTTGGATCATGTTCTGGTGTGGAAGTACGCAACCAATGACAGCATACCTGAAGTCGCGACCTTTTCATACAAGCCAAACGAGTATAGTGTTCCTGCGAAGGCAGTATTATTGCCAAGTCTCCCAGGTTCAAAGTATCCAGGTTTGGTGGTCATTGATGCTGTATCTGGTAGGGTGCGATACCACGAATCGGTGGTCTCTGCGCCTGCTGTTGGATTTCTGAACGGAAAAGAGCTAGATCTCAAGCTCAACAAGGAGTTCGTGGATAAAGCCGAGTTCGTTGGCAACTTCACTGTTCTTATCTCGACCTCTGCAAAAAGGCTCTTTGCGTTGCACTTGGCTGATGGCGCGGGTAGACCATGCCTCAGCAAATCTGAGATCCAGAGCTCTCAAAGATCTTTTTTGGGAATTGTCTTTGGTAACAATGTTTATGACATGCGGAACTACCTGAACTCTTCGAGAATAGTTGCCTTGAGATCAGGAAGAGAGCTAAATTCTGGAATGAGGGAACTTATAGTTCAGGATTCTGACGGCAATTTGTCGCTTTTCCAACAGGGTAATGGTTCTGTGGTTCCAATTTCATCTCATAATATCAAGAATGATCTATGTTCTCCTATCGCTGAGATATACCCTCACATCCGTCTGAGTTTCCGTGTTGAGGACCTTCAACTGTTGGCCTCTCAGGGCCTTATTCTACTGGCCAGCTTTGATAAAGAGCCTTCCACTTTGGAGAGATATCTCATTCTATTCACCATATCTGTTGATGAGACTGGTGTCAGTGTTCATTCATCCTATCGGCTTACTAGCTATATTGCCCATGGAGATGATAAAAACTCTTTGTTCTTGCCCTCGCCTTACTCCACTGCGTTCGTTGTTTCGGGAGGTGCTGTTGTGCTCACTGATGTCCCTCTGAGCTTATCTGCGAACGAGCTTCATTCGAGAAAGTGGGAAGATTTTGTGCGCTTCAGGTCCAATGTCACTATTCTCGGCTTTGGTTGCGAAGACCAGACTGATTATTCAAACGCCTCGTGTATTGCTGTCTCTGATGGATATGGTCTGTTGCGTGTTGAGAAGTACAGTGATGATGCGGAGCCTCCGTTGGAACTCGAGTTCAACGATTCTGTCTCTTTGATAAAGTCCCACATTGAACAGGCGATAATATTTGGCGGCGAGGATGTTACTGAGTTGAACCCATTGTTTTTCGATCTTTCATCAGGCCTGCGGTTGCTCTCTGATGATGTTCAGGAAGCCATTCAGCTGACCGTGGCTGAGATATTAACAAGCGAATCGAGGTACTTACCGTCTTTCGTACCGTCTCTGGAATCACATCTGAAAAAGCGCTTTACTGCACTGAAAAACCTAGCTTATTATGTTCGCACCAACTTCCTGGAGTACATTGATGAAGACATCAAGCTACTGGTTCTCAATTCTTTGGAGAAAATTGCGATTGCCAAAAGGTTCTACGGCAATTTCAACAATCCGGATTCCACAGATTTCGTGGAAACTTTGGAAGCAGCAATAAAGGTGGTCACCGGAACGAACGATGGTTCAGCAGTCATTCGTGATTATTTTTCAAAGGATGTAACCTCTATTTTAGATGTTCTGTCAGCTTTCCTGGGCCAGTTGTTGAACAGTGATGCTCTTGAGAAAACTCATGTGGACTCTGTGGCCAGCCTGATGCAAGATGTTCTAGCCCATGCTTATCTTGAGATCGAAAGGGACATCCGGTATTCGTGTTTGGGTATTAAAAGCTACTCTGGATCCAATATCAATCCACCAATCTCGCTCGAGAGTGATTTGTTTTTCAAAGTGGACCAGCTTTTGGGTAGGTTTGGATCGGGAAATGCTGATCAACTGAAGAATGCTGATAACGAGAAAACCATCATTGCAGCTGGATTAGCGGAAAGTTGTTACTATGCCTTTAACGATGCTTTGCAATGGAACTCCAAGCGACCAGAGAGTTCATCGAAACTCGAGATCTCCAAGAATTATGGTCTGATCTATGATGAGACCTTCAAGAACTGGGTTACTTTGGCTCTTCTGGCAAACCATCAAGAAAGCATTCTCACTTTGGCTGAGTTCTTTGAAGATTTTGAGACATTGTGCATGGTTCTTGAAGCAAGGAGGACGGAACTTGTATCTCTGATAGAATTCGCCCGGGAAAATGAAAAACCGGAGTTTGAGTTGAATCTGGAGGAGGTCTACTTGAGTTTTGAAAGTTACATGAACAAGTTTGGATACCAATTTGCTGCCACAATGTATGAATATTATATTTCGGAGGACAAACTGAGCATGGCGTTCTTAGAGTTTCCCAAGTTCAAGCCATACTTGAATGAGTTCCTGTCTGATGGAAGACACGGCGATGTTTCATGGATCAAGAATGTTCTTGAGAGGGACTACGAGAAGGCTGCCAGTACCCTTATTGCTGTCAGTCAAACCCCCAATCAGAATTACAAGAACAAGATGCTTGAGCTGAGCATCGCCAAATTGTCTATCATTGCATTCGCAAAGGGTGGGAACGATGCTTCGGAACTGCTGAGAGGCATCAAAGTTCAAATGTCCACGGTCAACCTCCAACAGATGATAGAGGAAGAACTGAGTGTGTTTGTTGCTGATGAATCCAACGAAAAGAAGGTAAGCTTTTGGAAAAATGAGTTTTCGACCACGTATCTGAAGAGCCATAAGTACGAAGGACTCCAGCCATTTTTCGCACGATACATGGAAACTCTGGGCGAGAAATACCCGTTATCCATACCCGATTTGATTAATTTTCTGACTCTGGTGGATCAAAAAACCGTCAATATGGAGGCATTCTTTTACAATGCATTCAAGCTGATTGTGTTGCTGAAAAGAGAATCGTATCCGGTTTCTCCTAGGTTCATTGATGTGGCAGAGAGAATTATCTGGCTGAGATTGCTGGTCAGAAACGACTGGGACTCCATATCAGACTCCTCCAATAACGTGATACTAGAACGGGTACATGAATCAAGCTTATTCAAAACTGTGTTTTTATTGATGAATGCCCAATTTATCGACACAAGTGCATTGAGCGAGTCGCTGATATTCATTCCCTTCGGTGACGATATAGCAAAGCTTTTCTCTACAAGACTTTCAGATGACGACGTCAAACTTGTTATTACCGGAGAAGTTAACGCGGAGTTCGATCAAAGCTTGCAAAAGGCTGCGAAGGATATTGATTCTGAGCAGGCCAGTCTGGACGAGCTGAACAAAAAATACAACCTAGGAGAATGGGTCAAATCCATTGTGTCTACGGTATCATGAATTTAGCATATGTATTACATTCTAAGAAATGAACAAGTTGAAAGAACATTGAACGCCAAGCCCAATGACAAAACGACCAAATATTCAATCTTTAAACTTGTAGCTTCCACTAGAGAGTGTGATGGAACCTCCACGGTAGGAACCTCTCTTCATCTTATTCTTGTTTTTAGTGAAATCCTTTCCGCGTACCTGCAAAAGACGTTCACTAGCCTTCTCTCCCCATGTACCGGCAGCACCTTTGTAACCGTTGTCGAGTAGAGCCTGGTCCTCGAAAGATATCTTCTCTCTTTCTATTCTAGAGAAATGGTGTCTTTGACCCTTCAATTCAGGTGATTGGGATCCTGCAGAGGAAAGAGAAGCAGTGGCAGACGATGGAACATCTTTCTGAACCTTCTTTGGTGGTTCTTCACTTTCGGAGTCTGAGCTGGATGATTCGTCTTCCGATAAAGCTCTCTTCTTTGAATTCTGTTTCTCTTCCACTTCCGAGTCACTCGAGTCACTAGAGTCACTAGAGTCGCTGGAGCTTGAGCTCGAGCTCGAGCTGTCGGAGTCACTAGAACTAGAGCTGGAATTGTTGTCTGACTCCTTCTTCTCTTCCTCCTTTTTGTCGCTGTCAGACTCGCTGTCCGATGAGTCTGAAGAGTCTGAAGAGTCCGAAGAATCCGAAGACTCCGAAGAATCCGAAGAATCCGAAGAGTCTGAAGAGTCCGAAGAGTCTGACGAACCTGAGTCTGGCGATTCAGAGGCCTTCACTTTCTTCTCTTCTTCTTTGGTTTCCTCCGCTTCGGACTCAGAGTCGGACTCAGAGTCAGAGCTCGAGCTTGAATCAGAATCAGAATCAGAGTCAGAATCAGACTCAGAAGAATCACCCTCCGAATCTGATCCTTTTTGCAAGTTCAAGAGCTCTTGCAAACTCATGTCAACGACTGCCTTCTCTGTGTCTATCCCACTCTCCTTGAGCTCCTTCTTCAGGGCCTTTGTACTCTTGCTCAAGTTGTATGCATCCAGTTGGTGCAATATTAGTACCAAGACATCTTCTTTAGCGAACATCGTATGCGCTTTTCAAAATATTTGTAGGTAGTAAATTTTTCAGCTGCATGTCTGTCTCTTCTAACTAAACCAAAGAAAAATTGTCAACCTAATTAGCCTGGGCACGTCTTTTCTTATCGCGATTGTTGGAAAGACATGGTCGTTATCATTTTCAGATCAAGGGTTGTCTCCAAAAGGGCGAGCAGGAAGCCCCGTGAGCACCAATCTTTACGGTACGGCAAGAAATGGATTTTTTCACACAGAAAAGAGTCTCAAAGAGGAAGAAGACAGGCTGTTTTACATGTAAGTTTGAGCTTTTTCGGCAAGACGGAGCGATATCGCGGAGTTACTAACTCGTGCCCCTTCTGAAAAACAGGCCGCAAAAGGAAGATCAAGTGTGACGAATCTTCCCCCGAATGCCTCAACTGCTCCAGGGGGACTTTCAAATGCATTTGGCCAGACAATCAGTCTTCATTGCCGCATACTGCGGAATTCAAGGTGGAGAAATACGACTCCGCCAAACGTTCCAGAAAAAGCCGCTTTGTTGATTCAGGGATAGTAACTCGGCGGAACAAACGACCAAAAAGAGCTATCCAGATCGTGGCTCAAGTTGGGTTCGTCCAAAATGAAAATTCGGGTCCCGGATCTCAAGAACAGTCGCTAACGGCCAAACAAGAACGTTCTGAGAATATTGAGTCTGATCAACGAGCCCTCATAGAATCGATATTGCTGTCTCCGCTGCCGATGGATAACTACCATAATTGGATCCCCGGAGTGACTCTGGATCTGCAAAGTGCGCATTTGTACTATCTTTATGTGAACTATTTCGTCCCATCTATTAGTCCGCAACCTTTTGTCTCCAAATATATGCAGCCTTCGGCCCTATTCATCTCTGCTGGATCCCAGAGTCAGGGTTTGAGAGAACTGTTCTATCTTTGCAGTGCCTATTATCTCTCTCATTGTCGACCTGAAATGAACCAGAAGGCAGAATTGCAATATGTCAAGTCAATTGGGATCATTAACCATGAGTTGGAGACGAATGGTTCCGGATATACAGAAGACTGGATGGGTGTGGCTTCTCAGTTATTGTGTATATCCAGTAGGATATATGCCAGATCTTGGGAGAAATCCACAAAGAACCTCGCAATCTCATATAAACTATTGCTGAAGAAGAAAAAACAAGCGGTGATTGAAGAGATAAACGATACGTCTTCACTGCAGATGGACAAATCTTCTTTGGATATCAGTTCTCCTCGCGATATTATCTTTTTTGACTCTTTCGCCTATAACTACGCTATATGTCTGCTATGGTGCAGCCCAGAGCGCTTGAAGATTTTGCCCTCGCCCTTCGTGGTATTTGACCGCATTGGACGTGACCTCTTTGAGCATTACCGTGCTGGCTTTTGGATGAACAGCCCGTGTTTTGGGGCAGCTTTTGAAGCGTTTGAGCTTGTGGCCAAGATCTCCTGGCTGTCCAAACAGACGACACCGTTGGCTCCGGGCTTGATATTCGAGCTGGAATCGAGGGCAAGAAACTACACTCCCCCAAAAATGCAGTCTGTTGGTATTCAGTCTTCTCAGAAACAGAAACTGATAGATTACAGCATACTAATGGGAATTGCCACGGCTAAGGCAGCGCTGATTTTGATCTCCAAGCTTTTGCGCCCAAATCTGACAGAGCAGGATCCCTTAATTCAGGAATGTGTGGAGGGTTGTTACGATGCAATGAAACAGATCTCTTTCTCATCCCACTGCTTTGCAATTGGAGGGTGGGCTCTAACTGTTGCTGGGGTAGCAGCGATCAAAAGGGAACATCGTGATTACTTTCTGGATGCTCAAAGAAAAATTGATAACATGCATCATTCCTACACTTTTGCTTCAGTCAGAGAGTTCATGCTTGCAGCCTGGGGCAGTAAATCTAGTCTGGGACTCGGTTTAGATATACTTTTCATAGCCGAATTTACAGAAGCGGTTCTGATCATTTGAGCCGCGCGTGCATATGCAAAGATATGCGGGTGGATGACCCTGTGCGGCTTTTCGGGCTAATTGAAAATTTTGGTTTGCTCCTGTGCCGGAGCCATAGATTGGAATTTCGATGTCAGATATATTACTATGAGTGGACTAGTGTGTCATATAATCATCTACACGCATTCCAAAATCATCAAATATCTTGCATTCACACATCCAGTGGAATTATAGGCCCTATGAGTTTCAAAAGCTTAGATATAAGATACCACACTATATAATGTAAGTGCTCAAGGAGTTTTCCCAGCTAGAAAGGTGCCGCCTCTAAAACCAACTCATCAGTCTCAGATCTAATGAATGGAATTTCGAAGTTGTCAGTGGTAATCGCCACAAATGCTGCCTGGGCTCCCTTGGATGCCTCCTTTGGTCCTGAGTACCTGTTGAGATTTGTAGCACAATAACCTGGGTCAACCGCAACCACCTTGATTCCGTAATTCTTGGAGTTCCACAGGTTCCGAATATTGATGGACAAAATATTGAGAGCGGCCTTAGAAGCATTGTACGCAAAAAAAGACTTTTCATTGTTCCCCCACTTGTTAACCAGTGCTTCCGTACTGCTTCCAAGACCCGAACTGATATTTAAAACTCTGGGTGCCTTGGACTTGATCAGCAATGGCTCAAATTTGTCCATAATAATGGCAGCAGAAACGAGATTGGTATTGAGAATTCTGGCGAATTCGGCCCTAGTCTGAGTTGTGGAGTAGGGGCCAAC